AAACAACCGCTTGCCAGCTCGATCAAGTCGGTTGACATCTTCTATGGTTTCAGCGGCGGATACAAGACTTCGGAACTCATCTCTGATCCATGCATCAATGTCGACCCTCGCTTCACCCGTCACCGGCCATTCGGGAAGCGAGTGCAACAATCTATTGAAGGAATCGGACGAGCTGAGAGTGGCCTCGGCCACTGCAGGTGCTGCTGTCACCATGGACACCGCCTTTGGCTCCGTTGCCTGGGCTAAACTGGTAAACGATATGTTTGGGTTTGGGGTCCAGGGTTTCGAGGTGCTGCCGTGTTTCAGCAAGTGCCGGTGGTGCAGGTGCCGGTGGTGCAACTGGCCCGCTTTTTGCCTGGGGTCACCGAACCCTTATGCTATCAAAACCCTAATAACTCTTTCAAAAGTTACTCCCAGGCCTTCGGTGGAGGAGCTGGCGGTGCAGCAGACCCTTTCGGCTTCGGCTCCTTGGGCTCGTTTCTTAAAAGGGTTGGGTTTAGGGTTTTAGGTTAAGGGCGGGATTCTTTAATTAAGTGCTGCAAAGCTTCGGCTTGGGATGGCGGCCTCAGGGGAATAGCCTTGATCATCAGAGGCCTGTCCCCCCTGCTTGTCGGCCTGGGTGTCGCTTCTGCCGGCGGTGAGGCGGGAGCCAGCAGTGCCGACACACCCTCCTGGGCTGTGGAAGAGTCAGGTCTTCTATTTCTGCTGGTTTCTAGGAGCTTTAGGGTTCCGGGGCTTCAGGGTTCAAGGGTTAAAAAAACTGGCCTAAGCTCATATGAGCCAAGATTCCGGCGACTGAAACATATTCCTGCGGCAGATGGGGCATTTTCCACCCGCACGAACCCGCAAATTTCGAAGGCAGGAGATGCAGAAGGGGCCGTGTGCACACAAGCTAAAGGACATAGGAGCTGGGTCCGTCTGCAAGCAGACGATGCACCTGCTGCCTGCATCACTTGTACCGCCGGGGCTTGCAGCGATAGCAGCTGCCGTGACTTCTGTTGCCGCTGCTGTGTTCTCAGCTGCTGTCGCAGATGCCGGGCTTTCTGTTGTAGCTGCGGTGTCCTCAGCTGCTGTCACAGCTGCCGTGGCTACTGTTGCAGGTGCTGTCGCTGCTGCGGTGTTCTGAGGTGGCCCATCGGTGTTCGCAGCTGGCCCATCGGTGCTCGCAGCTGGCCCATCGGTGCTCGCAGCTGTGTTGTCTGCATTTCCATCACCTGATCCACCAGCTGTGCTTGTCCAATTGGCCTGGTTCCAATGGCCTCTCCCGCCACCCGAACTCCACGAGCCCCACGAGTTCCACGATCCACGGCCCCGGCCGCCACGGCCTCGGTTTCCAGAGTTCCTGGTCCAGTTGCTTCCACTCCCGCCACCTCTGTTTCCGGAGCCACTGTTCCAGCTACTTGCACTCCAAGAGCCTGCACAGGGTTTCGGTTTCGGGTTTTAGGGGTTTAGCATTGAGGGTTTCAGGTTTAGTGGTTTAGTATTCAGGGTTTCAGGGTTTAGGGTTCAGGGGTTTAGAGCAATTCAGCCGTTGCCTTGGTTCCAGCCACCACTGCCGGATCCGGATCCATGGCTTGCCCAAGCACTGCCGCCGCCACTGCCGCCGCTGCCAGACCCAGAGCTACCGTGGCCTGGCCAAGCACCACCACTGCCGCCGCTGCCAGACCCAGAGCTCCCGTAGTTCTGCTGGCCTGCCCAAGCACCGCCACTGCCGCCGCCCCAGCTACCACTGCCACTGTGCTGGCCTGCCCAAGCACTGCCACTGCCGCCGCCCCAGCTACCACTGCCACTGCCACGGCCGCTGCCAGACCCAGAGCTTCCACCGTAGCTGTGTTGCCCTGCCCAAGCACCAAAGCCACCGCCATTGCCAGCATCGTTCAGCTGGCCTTGTTGGTCAAGGCGGCGGAGAAGGTTCTTTGCGACCTGTAGTCGCTTCCGCTTTCTCGAACTGGACGTCGACGAGGAGCTGGAGCTGGATGTATCCAGCAAGGCGATTGCCTCTTTCAACTTTCTAAATTTCCTCTTCCTCGCCCCACTTCTTTTGTCCTTCTTCTTTCGCCCCATGGGGCGATCGTGAGGTTATGCCCTAAGGGCAACCTCAAAAACACGAAGAAGGCCTTCCTAAGGTTTGAGCAATACATTTTGTGGAATATTGATTGCTCTCAAGCTTCTTGAGCACATGCGACTCCAGCAGAATTGACTTGAAGTCTTTGGCTGGCTCTGGTTCCGGGGTTGGCTTCAGGTCTCGAGTCTGGTCTCGGCCCAGCAGAGGCCCTGTCTCAGGTCCTCTGCCGGTCCGAGACCGATGTCTCGGCCCAACCTAGTCCCTGGGGCTTGGTACAAGGTCGGTTCGAGACATGTCTTTCCCACCCCTCGCTCAGCACCCACCCACTCCCCAAACAACCGCCAAGGATGTCTTGCAAGATCGCTACAAAGCAATTCCTAATATCAGTTAAGGGACTTTTCAAGCAGAACACCTTGGAGAAAAAAAGCGCCAAAAACGTCTTTCACAATCGATGCAAACAATTGCAGACCTATAAGGGACACAACTCCGAGGAAACCTTTGGGATACTTAGCCGATCGACCTAGGCTTCGGCTTGGACTTGCAGCAGGCAGCAGCGAAATTTTTTGGTGCTCTTCAGCTTCGGCCAGAAGCTCCAGTCAAAAGTGGTGCTGAGCACCGAGGATCGGCATCTTCTGCTGGATCACTCCGAAGCGATCTCTTCGTCCCGAAGCTTCACAGCAAAGGCTTTGGTAATCTTACCCTTGGTCTTCGTCTTCCGCAATTTTTGCATGACAGCCTGGAGCACAGCATGAAACTTCAAGCTCTGGGTCGTTGTGCAAGCCACGACGAGCTGACCATGCTCATCCAAAATGTAGCTCTTTTCCTTGAAGGGGCCTTTGAGAGACAAGAGGGGGACATTCAGGACTGTCTCCAAGCTCAAGGGCGTCTTCTTCAAGCTTCCAGCACTGGGCTTCTTCATGACCTTAGGCTTGCTAGCAGCAGGTTCCTCAGGCACGGATTTCCCCGCTGGTCGCTTCATGCTTGCGGCTTTGGCTGCCAAGGCTTCGACATCGCCATCAGAATCGTCCTCTTCTTCTTCGTCTCCTTCTCCCGACTTCCCGCCCTTGAGGAAGGACCAGAGAGGAAGACCGTCGGAATCTTGAGAAAGAGGAATGTCCTGGTACTTCTTCAAGCCATAGATGTCGCTCTCCGGGCCTGCAGATCCTGCAGCTTCTGAGGGCTCTGCACCAGCAGCTTGGCGAACACGAGTACGAAGCTCCTTCAACTGGGCTAGCTTGTCACCCAGGCCGCACAGTGCTTCTTCGCACTTTCGCCACTCCTTCTCGCTTGAGCCTCCCAAACAAAGTCGCCGAACATGGTTTAAGACGACGATGGTCCTGTCAGCCACATCCCCTGCCACAGTACCCAAAGGTCCGGACTTCGGCCTGCAAGCGGGGACGCTGGTGAACACGTTCATGAAAACCTCCTTGAGCTGGGAGTAAGACAAGTTGGCAGTCGGGCAAGCACTTAGAATGGCCATGAGGAAAGGCACCAACTTCGCCAGGGACTGGAACCTGATTGCACACGAACTCCAAGCACTTTCGTACTCGTGGAAGTTGAATGCATTGCCCGCCCCGACCTCATCCACATGATTCTTCAAGGCATCAGCAAGCCGTTCTGTCTCCACCCGAGCTTTGGGTGAATTGCGAGCACCACCCCTCGGCACAGCAGCCTTCTTCACCATGGCAATGGTGAAGAAAGAAAAAAAACGGGGAAACTACAAGCTGCTGTGCTGAAAATTAATGCTACAGATCAGGAACCCAAGAAAAAATCTCATGCAGAAAGCATCACTTGCACTCGAACCTCATGCAGAAAAGCATCACTTGCACTCGATCGGCAGACAGTTCTTCTTTTTCTCTTGCTTGGCCACTGCCTCACTGCTGCACGTGGAGCGATCCTAGCTATGTTCACTTAGCTCTCGTCGCCGAAGCAGCCGCTGGTCGTCCTTTTCCAAGTAGAAGTTGGTGCAGCAGGTTGAGCACCAATGGTTCTCATGCGGCAGGCCCAAGCGAACACAGACTTTGTTGTGCTCCAAGCAACAGTGCTTGCATCTCGGGATCTCTTCCATGTCCGCACCGAAGCTGCTGCTGCCGGGAGTGGCACCATCGAGATCGCTGTTAGACACCTCCGGGTTAGAGCAGCACTGCCCCATGCTGGAGTTGCTGGACTAAGGAAGGAAGCGGCAGTGGGGAGACATGCTCTGCAAGTTCAAGCCTTAATAGTTGCAGCAAGAATCAAGACACATTCGATGCACACTCTGCGGGAAGTGCGGCACAAGAATCAATTCGATGCACACTCTGCGGGACCTGCAGCAGTAAGCTTGCCCTCGGCCCCTGCAAGGCCCCACTGAATGGTCCGAGCAGGGTTCGAGGGCATCGGTTCTCAACATAAAATCAGTATCTATTTCAATAAAGCCAACAATATAAATCAATATGTTACATGTTCAAATTTCAATACAATGTTGACATGATTTATCACCATTTATTGATCTTTGCGCAAGATCAATATCGATTAATGATTTTGCGCACAAATCAATACGACGATTGATATTTTTCAATAACCGAGCCTCTGGGTGCAGGGCCACTCCATGAATGGATCTGGGGCTGATCCGATTGTGCCTGTGACGGAACTCCCTCCTGGGCATCTCGCTGTCCCTGGGCAACCTTCTGGTCTACGTGAGCGTGATGTTTGTCACATGGGGTTAGAGGGCCTGCTGACCGATACAAGTGACCAAGATGGCCGTGAGGGTGAGGTTCGACATGCTGGGGTTCATGACGGAGGCCAACACACACAGATGCATGATCAACAGAACATCCCTATGGACAGTTCTGGGGCTACTCTGAGTGTGCCTGTGGGAGAGCTTCCTCTTGGGCATCTCGCTGTCCCTGCCCCTCCTTCTGGTCTATGTGAGAGTGATGTTCCTGGTCAAGGGAATATGGAGTTGGAGGGTATGCCTGGGAATCTGGAGTTTGGGTCTGCGGGGACTTTGTTTGCGAATGTGAATGCTGGGAGTTCCACGGTGGTCCTGGAGGATTCGGGGTCAGGTGAGTATGGACTTGATGGTGTGACTGCCTTCCCGCATCCCCTGGTGGAACATGAGTCGACGATCCAAGTGGAGTCTGGGTCTGCTATGGAGGAGGAGAGTGGGGTCGATGGGGTTGGGGTTGATGAGTCTGACAAAGACATGAATGGTGGGTCGGATAAGGATGCAAGGGCTAAACGTCTCCGTCGAGTATAAGGGTGAGTATGTGCTCCACGTGAAGGTCTGAAGGGCTGCCTGTCACTTTTACGAAAAACCAGGTACTTGAAAGTGAGTATCTGTTGCCTGCCCAAATGGGCTTTTGAGACGCTTCATGCTGATCGAAAAGGGGCCCTTAAAAAAGAAAACCCTCAACCTTAAACCCCTAAGCTCTAAGCCCTAAAACCCTAAAACCCTAAACCCTAAACCCCTAAACCCTAAACCCTAAACCCCTAAAGCCTAAAACCCTAAAACCCTAAACCCTAATCAAGGAGACGGCCATCAATATCGGTGTGGCCACCGGGCTCCTGGCAGCGGAGGCGAAGCCGGGGGACCGTCCCATGCCACTTGGACCTAAGGCTTAGGGTTTTAGGGTTTAGGGTTCTAGGGGTTAGGGTTTTGGGAGTTTGGGGCTTAGGGCTTTAGGGTTTAGGCTTAGGGTTTTAGGGTTTAGTCTCCATTGTAGCTCCTTTTTCTGGTTTAACCATATTTATATTTAGGATCCTAAAAGGTAACCCAAAAAATGAGATACAATGGAGACTATAGGTAGGGTTTTAAGGAGTTTAGGGATTTAGGGGTTAGGGCTTTAGGGTTTAGGGATTTTGGCCTTCAGTGATTTTGGGGCTTAGGGTTTTTGGGTTTAGGGTTTTTTACAGCTTTAGGGGTTAGGGCTTCTAGGGTTTAGGGCTTTAGGGGTTAGGGCTTCTAGGGTTTAGGGCCTTAGGGGTTAGGGCTTGGGGGGTTTGAGCTTCAAGGGTTAGGGCTTTTGGGGGTTTAAGGCTCTAGGGTTTAGGGCTTTACGGTTTAGGGCTCGGGCTGGTGATGTTGTTTCTGACCGTAAACCCGACATTGTATTCTGGGTCTAGGAGTAGCATACTTATATAAATGCGTTTTTGGGGGACCCGTTCCCTTACAGGAACCCTAAACCCTAAACTTTTTAAACCTTAAACAACCCTAAACCCTAAACCTTGCACCCTAAACCCTAAACCTTTCACCCTATGCCCCAAACCCTAAACGTTACACCCTTAACCCTAAACCTTAAACCCTAAACCCTAATGCTTACACCCTAAACCCTAAACTCTAAACTTGTGTATTGCTGTTATGGTTTTGAGGGCGCAGGAGTCTCGATGGTGAGGGCGCCAGGGCTTACTTGGATGTTCATGGGTAGTTATAAGGGTTCCTTGAAGGGTCCCTTTAAAGGGATCTATAGGGATACGATAAGGGTATAGGGTTTAGGATTCTACTTGGAGGTTCATGCGTAGTTATAAGTAGGGTTATAAGTAGGGTAACTATACGTACTTATAACCCATATGAAGGGACTTGTAACCGTACGCATGTAACCACTCGAGCAACATGGCATTAGGGTTTTTCAGGAGCACAGGCAACCCAAAATTCTAAAGTCAGGCTTAGATTGTTTCCAAGTCCGGTCTCGTTGTTTCAGTTCTATTTGCAGATGTATGTAAGGTTCAGCGTGTGTTGCTTGTTTTGGGTGTTTTTTGTCGGGTTGTGTGTTCTGCATTGCCTATGTTTACAATAGATCCGATAGGGTCTGAAGCTTTTCTCCAGCGTTGTAGGTTGACGGACTGGCGCATGAACCGCAAGGCGCCCCAAACATTTACAACCGGTTATGTCTGCAGAACCCTACAGTGTTTTAGCTAGCCCTACTTAGAGGTTCGTGGGTAGCTACAAGTAGGGTTATAAGTAAGGTAACTATACTCATAACCCATATTAAGGGACTTATAACCCTACTTATAACTACCCATGAACCTCCAAGTAAACCCTAAACTGTCGCGCCAGCTCGAAGCCCTTCGCCGCAAAACCCACACACTAAATTTACACCCTACCTTAACCCCAAATTTTCTACCTTTTTAAGGACTTACAAAACGAAATCATAGTAGGGAACCCTAAAAAAGGTAGGTTCCTTGGGGTCCAGGTACACCCTACAGCCGAGAACGCCTTACACTTGCCCTTTACCCTAACCCGTTTCCTTGCGCTTACCAGTTGCCTTATCTCGTTACTCTTGACCCCTGAGCTTTACCCCATGTAAAACCCAACAGAAGGCTTATGGAAACCCCTTTCGCGCTGTGCCACCTACGCTCCGACTGAGGTTCTCCTCGGGAGACTTCATGAAGGGTAACGACTTCCAGCCAGCGGCTTCTTGGCGTGCCTCTTTGAGGGTTTATGGGCTTTAGAGAGTTAAGGGTTTTGGAGGGTTAGAGTTTGGGTTTGGGGTGTTTTCGGTTTTAGGCGTCAGGGCTGGGAGAGCGTTCCTTAACCAAGGTTGCTGCTTAGGAATGGTTAATTGCTTTCTTGTAGTATAAATTCGAACCAGGGGGTGTCAGTAACAAAAAATTCCTTTCGATGGGATGCCTTGATGAATGGGTCTCCATCATGTTTGCCATATACGGCTTACGTTTTGAATCAGGGGTCCATAAAGTCAGGATCGTCAGAGCAGCAGCAATGCGCCGGCATTGCCCGTGAATCTTACACCCCAAACCCGGAGCTCGAAGCCCTAAACCTTATATGCCCGATGCCCAACATCCCAGGCCATGAAGCCTAGTAAAAAATACGCCTTGAACCCTAAAACCAAAACTCCGAACCCCAAGCCCTACAAACACTTGATCCTCTAGCCATAAAGCCCCCTCCCCACCGCAAAGCCAGGAGCGTGAACATGTACCGTGGTTGAGTATTCAGGATTTAGGGTTGCAGGGGTTATATGTCCTTAGGGGTACTTAGAAATAATTTTCAATTTTTGGTTAGTATAATCCCTAAGAAACAGCTAAAATTATTTGTCAATTTTTGCTAAGGTTCGAAGTTCAGTATAGTGTCCCAAACCCTGTCGCCCTACAAAGCCTGAACAACACTAGGACTCTAAGCCCAAGATGCAGCTCAAACCTGTCCGACACTTTAAACACACAAAAATCATAACCGTGAAATATTCTTGAAATGCTTGCTAAGATTGGTCCTTTTCCGAGGTTTGTTTTAAGTATTACAAACCAGAATGGGCTCTTCCAATTGTTCAGGCACCTTGCCGATCCCGTAAAGAACCCTCTGAGAATCCCTGTTGCACTCATTAAGGATCCAATATGCACCGAAATTCGTTGAGCAATATACGGTCTCAAGCCGCAAGGGCATGCAGGTGTCCTTCTAGTCGTTATAAACCCTCAAAGCCCTGTAAATAACTGCATCCTATAAGGCCTATAGACCCTATATGGGAGGGGACCCCAATAAAGGTACCCCTAGTTTTCGGAAGCTCTAAACCCTAAACCCTTTATAGAACCCTTATAGATCCCTTTAAGGTACCCTTAAAGGATCCCTTTAAGGACCCCCTAATTTTCTGAAATTCCCATACGCCCAAAACAAGGACATGCAGGCGAAGCTGCACGAGGTGGCGGAGCAGGCATGGCGATTTGGCATCATTCGACTCAGCCCTTATGGGTTTCCTTTAGGTTCCCTTGATTAACGGTTCACTTTAAGTTCTTTGAAGGGTTTCCTTTAAGGGTTCCTTTAGGGGTTTGGGAGGGTGAGATTTGGCATCATGCAACTCCCCAGAGAGCCCAATACCCCCTTGATTAAGAAATACCGAGGGGTTCCTTTAAGGGATCTATAAGGGATCTTTAGGGTTTAGGGTTTAGGGCTCCAGTACCCCTTAATTCAGGAATGTAGCTTAAATCATAATATGAAGCCCTATATAATGTAAGCCATATTCCTTAATTAAGGGGGTATTGGGCTCTCAGGGTCAGCCCTTAAGGGTTCCTCCAAGGGCTTCCTGTGAGGATTCCTCTTGAGGTTCGGGAGGGTTTGCTACCCTTCCCGTCTTATAACCCTAAGCAGCTCGGACACTTGCAATCATTCAGACTCTATAGACTTTGGGCCGTTAGGGTATCTAGGAATCCTTCGTCCGGACTGGAGGGTTCCAAGGTTTCAGGACTTTGTTCCGCCTGTTTGTCTGTCTGTCGGTCGGTCTGTCTGTCGGTCTTACTGTACAGTTAGACCGAATCGTGTTCATGAGTCTTCTTTATGACAACGATTCGACCGTTCATGGGTTGTCAGGGGCCCGTAGTGTCTGAGCTCCCCCGTCAAAACACGTTGAAGAAGGTTAAGTGGTTTGCCAGCTTCGATGTCAGGGCCTTTTAATTGATTACTAGTATTATTCCTTGGAGTTCCCTCTTTGTGAGTATAGGATATACACATACACACATATGTACACGTGAAGGGATTAGAAATACGTGTGTGTGTATATATATATATACACACCCACATACATACCCACACATCATGCAAACATATACAAGTGTGTGTGTATATATATATATATACACACTCTCTCTCTTTCTCTCTCTGATAGACACGGTTCTTATATTTGTATACATACACATTCATAAATACACGCATGTGTATACATTATCATTCGACTATACAGACCCCTCCGCTGACTTTTCTTCTTGCTCGCTGATGCTCCTGTGCAGGCGCGACACGCCTATGCACAGCCGCTTGGACTCTGCACGCCTGGGGGATGCTCAAAGTGCTTCAGAAGTGTAGTGCCTGAGGCCCTGCACCCTACGAAGTGGAACAAACCCGACATCATAAACCCCAAACCCGGGGGAAAGATGTTTTTCGAATGTTGATTGTGTGATTCAAAAGAAGGAGCCACGGCAGTGAGAATACCGTTGCAGCAGTTCAGGATATAGAGCTTCAGTGCTCGTTTCACGGTTGCTCACGTTCCGGCCTGAGCCGTTCGTTGCAATTTTGGGTTTAGTGCTCGCCGCGTTTAGTATTGGATTCGAGACTGTGACTGTGGCTCTAGTTTTCTCGCCCTTGTTTGGCTGCAGACCTACAGAGCCCTAAATCAAAGGGCCTATAATCCCCTAAACCCTACAGAAAGTTAGATCCTGAGGCCTGCGTTGGTGCATGCGGAGTTTTGGAGTTTCTTACGCCTTTCGATCGGGCTCGTGATGCTTACTTGTTGAAGTTAACCTTCTGTTGAGGTTTCAGCGTTTGGGCCTGCGTTGCAATCCCTAAAGCCCTATCCTGGGCTTTGAAGTACCATACTTTAATACTTTTTTCTTAAATGGAACCTTTATGAAATACAAGTTCATACTTTTTTCTCCCTGGTTACTTAAAAGCCCAGTACCCTTAAAAGTTCCTAAAACCCTGAACCTTAGACTCAATGCCCTTCTTAAGGCCCCTATGAACCCTGAACTTTACGCCTAAACCGAGCAGATCACCGGTGGACGGAGACGAGCCCTGAAAGAGCAAGCACAGCTAGAGCCTGAACCCGAAGCCCTTTAACCCCCAAAAAAATCTAAGTACGGTTATAAGTACCCTAAATGGAGTTACCCCAATTCTAACCCGACTTACAACCTATATACTTACTAAGTCCCCTGGGCCTCCAAGTAAAGCCCTAAAGCCCCAAACCCCAAACCACTATGTTCGCCTGGCCCTTTTTGAAAACCCTCGGATGCCCTAAGTCAGAGACTCCCAACCCATTAACTGAGGAACCTACAATAAAGCACAATAAAGAGCCTGATTAGGATTTCCTACCCGGCTTTCTGACTCCCTAAATTCCAAGGGCTGTGCAGGAATAAACCAGAAGTCATTTTTACTGAGGGTCCTCATGATGATTTAGTGTGCTTTGTTGAATACAGAGGAGTTTTCGCAAGTATCCACTATCACTACGGAGTCTCTCTTAATTGAGGAATAGGTGCCTTAGTTAATTTCAGGGACTGTTCCTATGGACTCTCCTAAACCCTACAACCTTATCCTAAACACTGAACCCAGAACCAAAACCCATAAAACTTAAACCCTAAGCTTAGGGTCTCGGACCTGGAGTAGGCCCTTATTCCCTTTTGAAGGGTTCAGGTTCCCTTATAAACCCCTTTAAACCAAAAAGGGCACCCTTTTTATTCCTAGGTTACTCTTGGGTCTAGGGGTTATACCCTAAACCCTAAACCCTAAGCTTAGGGTTTCACGCCCGAAACTCTCCGCGTATATATAGGGGCCTAAATAATTACCAATACTATTTTGGTGGTTCCTTATTATAAGTAGAGTATAATATAACCCAAAACCCTGTTCTAATTATTAAGGCCCCTAAAGTATAGTTTTAGTACCCTTGTGGTATCCCTTATAGCAACCCAGACCCCTTTAAAGGAACCCCTATTCTAATTATTGAGGCCCCTATAGTGTATCCGATGAGTTCAGCCGAGGAAGCAGATGCTCGAAGGCCTCCTCGACGTCCTTTTTCAACTCAAATCCTCAAAGGGTCCAAAGTACTGTTATGGGGAATACTAGTATGGTTAGTAGGACATGGAAGAGTGGTAATAATAGTTATAATTGTACCCCATTCCTCCATTCCCTTCTAACCCAAGGAAAGCTTTTTCAACTCAATTCCTAAAGCATTCTGAGTTTCGGAAGGGTTTAGGGTTTGGGGGTTTGGGGTTTAAAGTTGTATGTTGTCGTTTGGTTAGGGTTCGGGCTTTAAGGGTTTAGAGGTTAGGACTTAGGTAGGGTTCGGGGCTTATGATTGGCCAGACTAAGAAATCACAAGGCCCGCCCTGTGTGTGTGTGTGTATATATATATATATAGACACACAACAGAAAAGGGTGTTGGATCCTGCGATTATTTCGGTGACTATCTGTGCTGTGCTGTGTGTGTGTATCAAATTTCATGATACGTGGTCTCGCAAAGCAGGTTGACAGTCAGACACCCAGAGAGCCCAATGCCCCTTAACTAAGGAATGTGGCTTAAGTTATACAGGGCTTCATATTATGATTTAAGCTATATTCCTTAATTAAGGGGTATTGGGCTCTCTGGGCAGAGGCCGTGTTTCCGGCTTCAGCTCGCATCCCCTTTTGTTGATGACACATGCTCACATGGCTGCAGTCTCAGAGAACGACTAGCACCCTGCAGCACCATAAAATGTACCGAAGTTCCGTAAAGCAACAAGAACCGAAGCTAAGCCCTGCACCATGAAGGCATGGTCATTGATGGCAAATGCCTGGAACTTGCGCTGGAGCCGCAGAACGAGAAGGCTGGGCAGGGGCGCATGTTTAAAACTATAAACCCCAAGACCTGCAACGAGCGAAGCCCTCAACACCACAACCCAACTGAGATCTCATAGATCCCAATACCCCTTAATTAAAAATATAGCTTAAGTCATAGGGGCCTGAATATTGCGGTTTACGGTAAATCCCTTAATTAAGGGGTTTTGGGATCTCTGGGATTGGAGTGAACTTCCGAAGCTTCGATTTCAGCTGCACTCTGCTCGCATTGCCTGTTCCGCTTGGAGGCCCAGGGGACTTCGTAAGTAGGTTATAAGTAGGGTTATAAGTACTCTAACTGGAGTTACCCCAACTATAACCCTACTTATAACCTACTTACTAAGTCCGCTGGGCCGCCAAGCTTGGCCCTCGCCCACGGTCTCAGGATCTTGTTTCTGAACCCTGTAGGCCTATCTTCCCAGAACCGGCAAACCCGAAACCCCTAGGCCCTCGAACCCCCTAAACCCCAAACCCTAATATGGGTAGTTGTCAAAATTAGGGTCCCTTTTGGGGTACCTTAAGTAATAGGTGCCGTACTATATCAGGGACCCAAAAGAGGACCATAATTTTGACAACCCCCCATATGGGGGCCTTTATAGTTACCAATACCAGTTTGGGGTTCCTACGGTTGATGATATAAATCCTGCAATACCCACAATAAGGAATCATACCACAATTCCCATAGTCTGGGGTCCTTAAGGTAATGCAGGATGTATATCATCAACCGTATTTAAAGTCCCCTATATTGAACCCTTTAGACCCTCATCCCCCCAGGACTTCGTGGCCATCTGTCGCACATGCACGACTGCTTCCCGAATGCAATGCTGACAGCAATCACTCATTGAGGTTTAGGGTTTATGGGTTAAGGTTTAGGGTTTAAGGTTCAGGGTTTAGTTCTTATGTCTGTCGCAACTGAGTCCTCTTATCTCTAATTTGGGGATTTCGATTGCTCCCGTATCGCACTTGCTTAGCTAGATGATGCTGGATTATGTTCTACCAGGCAAGCGTTACGTGGATTGCGATGTTATGTTGCATAATTCTTCTTGTTCTACTATACTCCACTATCGCAGACAGTATTCTACCGTACCAGAAACTAACTTGCTATTGTAATTACTGTGATGTAGTGGACCTGTTGCTGTTGCTATGATAATACTGCAGTAGGCTGTGGTGTTGTTTCTGAGAAACTGCACAGTTTGTACTATACCATGCTCCCTGTGGTTCTGCCGTTTGTTCATTCTGCTTGTTCATCTGGAATGGTGTGTCTACTATAGTGGGCTACAATGAACTCTGTTCTAACATAATATCATATGACTCATATGTCATGATATAGTATAGCAGAGTAAAATACACAATGGTAGGGTATGGTAGGGTGTTGCATGGCTTGGTCTGGGATGGTATAGCGCAGTACAATCAAGTATAGTTGGGCACAGTATAGTATCGCATCGTCTCGTACATCACAGTATAGGGTACCGCAGCATAGTACAGTAAAGTTCAATACAGTCTAGTATAGTACAGCATGGTACAGTATAGTATAGTATAGTACCGTGAGGTAAATATCATTGGTATTGAGACAGAGCGGAGTAAAGCAAAGTAAAGCCTAGTATGTTTCAGTATCGTACAGTGTAGTGAGGTTTTGTAATGTCCAGTATCTTATGTGGCATGTATTTCCATGCCGGGCAGTGCAGTGCGGCATCGTATAATTAGTGTAGTCCAGTATATTATGGTGAAGTATTGTACAGTACAGTACAGTATAGCAAAGTGATGGACATTTGTGATACCTGTTCAAGCTTGAGTAATTCTGCTGTCTAATACTGTACTACACCTTTTTTGTATCGTCGCTCACTGTGGTGTATTCCGTGTTTTTGTTCCATACGGGTACACCGTAGGCACTACCGGTGTATCTAAATGTTGCATACTGGTTTGGTTTTTGCTTCGCCATATTTCTTGTATGCGAATTTCGTATGTGTGGGGCTTGTGTGTGTATATATATAAATGTATGTATATCATATATATATATATATATACACACACGTATAAATACAAATATAAATATAGATATAAATATATACATACATATATATATATAAACATATGTGCGTACATATATGTTATACACACTCGCAGATAAGCTTCACACGGACCATACCAGCTATGTTTCGTGGTGGTAGCAAACAGAGCCCTCCAGGGTGTGTGCTGTGCTGCGCTATACTACCAGCTGGATCCTGGTGAAGACTTGGTCGCGACGGCGTATCGTGAACCAAATGTCCCTGGAATGGTAGCGCATGTCAATGTAGGGGCCTTAATAGTTTGATTAGGATTAGGGGGCCAATTCTGCTATACTCATAATGAAGAGCCCCCAAAATAGTAATTACGTATAGGTAATTATTTAGGCCTATAGTATGTTCTTCAGCAGCAGCCCAGCTTCAAAGTTTGCGTCGGCTCTTCGCCAGATCCAAGCCGGAGGCATCCAAGTAATTAGGCCCTCGTCCTGTTCGAAGCTTGCTGTAGACTAATGTAGGAACCTGATTAAGAAACCCTGGGCCCTAAAACCCCAAAATAGTAGGGTTCATACAAGGAACCCTATTAAAGGCCAAGGTTTCTTAGTCAGGTTCCTAGATTACAGTGCATTTTTTCAGTATAAACCTCTGGGAAGAGCCCGCTTCGAGGTGATTTGCTGTCGGGTGTCTCCCAAGCAGAAGGGTGCAGTCGTCCGTCTCATTAAGCAGGACCGCTGAAAGCATGTCATGGCAGTTTTGTTTGCTTGTTCAAGGTTGTGTTCGGACCGAAACCCATACTGTAACTTCGGAGGTGGTTGTGGGGTGATAATTAGAATAGGGTGTTGAGGGTTCATTCTTGTAACTATAGTATAATACCCCCCCCCCCCCAAAAAAAAAACTTATTTTAATTGTTAAGGCCCCTATATTAGGGTACACGATTTGTACGTGTTCTGTTCAGGCCTCAGGAAGCAGATTTCAAGCCACTTAGCTTGAAGTCTTGCTAAAAGCAGAAGCCGAAGATCCGATAAACATATACATTTCATGGCATATGAGATATTTAAAAAATATAATATGATTTTTTATCTGCAAAATTTCAGGTGCAGTCATGGAGCGTTAATTAGGCCGCGTCTGGGCACACGAAGCCGCCCGGAACTTCCGGAAGTTTTCGTGGGTTAAGCCCTTGTATCCGCGAGTCCATCACATTCTTTGGGGGAATTATGTCTCAAGGGTCCCGAAGTCTTAGAAGGTGTTTGGGTGCATGGGAGTAGAAACTTCGGCAATCGCGCATTGCGGTTCAAAAGCCCGGACCTGAACTACCACGCAAAGGGCTCTAAACTCCAACCTAGAAGCCCTAGGTTCCTGAGTAGGACCCTTTGGCCCTTTTCAATTTTAGGGCCTCCTTTCTAAAACAGGAAAAAAGGGTACCCTTATTATTACGGTGTTTTTGAGGAACCAAGAAGCCGGAAGATTCACCCACTTCCTTCTTTCGGCTTCCTTAGGTTTTTCTTTCGAAAACGCGACCCTATGGCGCTTACGTCAATCCTGGAATTCCTGATTCTGAAAGCACCAGAGAGCCCGATACCCCTTCATTAAGGAATATGGCTGAAATTATATAGGCCTTGATATTATGATTTAGGCTATATTCCTTAATTAAGGGGTATTGGCCTCTTTGGGTCGCCCGTAAAGCCAAACCAAAGACATGAACTCTGAGATCCGGTGTCCTCAGGTTCGGGGTTTAGGTTTAGGGTTTAGGAGTTGAGTGTCTGGTTTGGAGTCTAGAGGAGAAAAGATAATCTATGTATATCAAACCTTTCCGAGCAGTGTGCTTTTGTTGTTTTTTGGGGGCAACCCAAAGACAGATGCATGTATGTAATTATGTATGTACATGTACATATATATATATATACACGCTTACACATATGCATGTATGTATATCTGCATCTGTATGTATGTATCTGTATCTATTTGTATATATCTAACTAATTATGTATACATCTATACCTTTATCTGTATTTTCTACCGTGTGAACTTTGCGCGGCCTTGGGGAGGAGGAGAAGGCCATCACTCTGGCGATCGGTAGCTGGACTGCCGAACATGTTCGTGTTTTTCCCCAGAGACTCCAATATCCCTTAACTAAGGAATATACCTCAAATTATAGTAGGATCCCTAATATGATTTAAGGAATATTCCTTAGTTAAGGGGTATTGGAGTCTCAGGGTCGTAATCGTGCATAGGGTTTCTGAGTTTAGAATGTGGGGGTGCGGGGTTTCATGTTTAAGGAGTTTAAGGTCTACGCACATTGGCGGTGCTTGTAACCAGCAGCCGATTTTGTCAGAAATGATCCGAGGTTAAGGTTCGGACTCTTCGCCCCGTTCGGGGTGTCGGTAGCCTGTGGCCATTTGGTTCGTCTTCGTCCTCTTCTGCCTGAATCACAGGTTTTCAGAGGGGTTCGCATGGTGCAAGGCGCAGTTTAAAAATCAATTGTGCTACACTCAATTTTATGATCTTAAAGTATATAGTAGAGTATCGTCAAGTAAAGTATAGTATGTTAAGTGCTTCCGTGAGCAGGATGCAGGTTGGGGTTAAGTTCAACCGGCTAGATGGTAAAGGATTCTGCTTTAGGGTTTCAGGGCTCAGGGTTTAAGGGTTCAGGGTTTAAGAGTATAAGCAATTGCATGCAATGTGACAAGATAGAAGGGACGTAATGAACAACCGCGCAGACTCTAGCACTGCTTGTATAATTCATGACATTTCCCTAAGGGTCCATGTACCCAAATAGTAGATAGTTTGGCCTTAAAGTAGTCCCTATATAGGTACTTTGGGGCCAAAGTATATACCATTTTTGTACATGGACCCTTGGGGTTGTTTGGGCCTCGGACAGTCCGAGGTGATGGCGCCAACGACTGCAACATGATCATGACTCTTGGCCTTGTCATTTCGATACTACACATGGGTAGTTGTCAAAATTAGGGTCCCGTTTTGGGTACCTTAAAATATCAGGTGTCGTATTATGTTAATTAATGACCCAAAAAGGAACCACAATTATGACAACCACCCACATGACGCAAGATGTGCTACATAGTATGTCTTTTATACTCACACTGTATGCATATACAGTGTGACGCGTAAGTTTATCTTGCATGCTGCATGCTAGCGCGATGATTACCTTTGGGGTTATATCCGGTAGTTTCCTCCTTCGCAGACATGGATCAACAACGCCATCATCATCGACGACAGTTAACTCGCGGCGTTGGGTTCAACATCCCCCAAGTTACAATTGATGAAGCCTGTATTCGTAAATCTTTTCCGAAAGCCCCCCCGCCGAAATCCTGTAAAGTTTACTATACAGACTTGCAGAGCGCATCCCAGACGGCCACTATAGACGCCTCAGGGAACTCTTGACTTGATGGTGCTCCGGCACGTCCGGCTCAGGTGCGTTTATGGCTGACAAGGTCTTTGCGAGAGTTTAAACCCCAAACTTTAAACCCTAAACCCTAAACCTAACGAGCATGCTTACAGAGGCCTTGTACACTCTAGCTTCATGTCGTTTGTCCCGACACCGTGCCACGTGACACCCCTCTACAGGGCATTGCAGAGGCCTCATCATCATATGCGTATATAGGTAGCTTACTTTACAAAGCACCATGACATGTTCTAGTTCCAGTCCAGTCATACATGCACCTGTACTGCCCCTTCAACCTCCCATTTATGACAATTAGAACCGAAGCCTCTTGTTCGAATCATTTACCTAGGCTCTGTTCTAGGACCGTTTTGGTAATACTTAGAAGTCCTCATCAGCCTTGTCTAGGCCTTTTTCTAGGGCCTGTTTTAGTAAGCTTCTGCGGCGGATTTTTCCGTCCGTTGGGGCCGATCCCATGGGCGCCGCCGGAGATGTCAGTCGGCTTGTCGGGACCTATTGGCGCCTTGGTTGCACTGGTTATAGCAGTTTTTTTAGGGTGTTTTAGAACGATTTCAGGGTTTAGAATTACAGTGTTTTCTCTTACGGCTGTTGTTGATTTTAGAAGACGTTTGTACAGGTTGGACCAGGATTTGAAGAGTCTTGTAGGGGTTTCAGCGGGGGTGGCATATTGCCGGACTATTTGCTTCGTGAGAACCCCAAGTTCTCATCCCTTAAATTGGAACGGCAGTCCACCTGTCTTATCTGGGTTCTTGCTTTGCAGTTTGAATAAAATCCCCTCAGCCAGGAAGCCCTGCTATTTGCTTTGGATCCCTATGATCTGAATAACATTCCTAACACGCACCCAGTTATGGTTCAGGGGGCTGGGTGTCAGGAAACGCGAACTCGGAACCATGCTTTCCGTGCTTCAGGTTCCTTGGGGATCTCGGCAGCCCGTTTGAGTGTATGACTCAAAGGCTGATGGAATACTTACTACTCGCATTAAGGTACATAAAGCCTGATGACGAAATCCCATGATGATCCCAAGTGTTCTTTCGAAATCAGTCGCGATACCAAGCCCTAAACCCTAAAGCTTCACGAAGGAAAGCTTGAGCACATGAGAGACCTAGGCTTGCTAAGTGAGCCCTGTAAGCTAAAGGCATCATCACCCAAACAGGAGGTTTGGCTCTATGTGGATTCGTAGGGCTAGATGGGAGTCTCCGAAAATAAGGGACCCCAATATAGCACCCTAAATTGTAGGATCCCATTATCAGGACACCCCAGATAAGGTACCTCTAATTTTCGGGAACTCCCATATCCTGAAGTCTTGGTCCCACATCCGCCCAGGCTCATAAGCCCAAGTCCGTACCGGTGGCAAGCCCTGAACCACGGCCCTAATCCCTGACTGCTGAATGCTTCAGGACTTCGGTGTTGTGTGTCACGTTAGGCTTATGCCACACTAAGGCCGGGGCTCCTTGCTATGCCTATACGAAAATCCCCCCCTCAAATCCTGGTGAAATTATCAGGGTCTCTCCTAAACCCTAAGCCCTGCTCCAAAACCTTAACCCCTACGCTGAACCCTAAGCCCTGCCCTAACCAATTAAGCCATAAACGCTGAATCCCTCATAAACCCGAAGCCCTTCCCCAACCAGGTCACTGCTTCTCGGGAACGTCCTGGAGTGGTATGAGTTCTGTCTCTTCAGCTTCCTCGAGCCTTACTTTGAGGAGAACTTCTTCCGGGGCTCTGCCGTGGAACCTTGGCCTTTTGAAAGAGAGGGTGTAGGACGGTATAGGACGGTTTAGGGTTTGAGGTTCAAGGTTTGGGGCCAGCAGGCGTTCGGGTTCAGGGTTGGCTTAGGGTTTACAAAGCTTGCGGTTTGGTAAGGTGTGCTTCCGGATTCAGATAGATAGCGATGGTGATGTTGACAGGGAGGGTCTGGATATACATGAGAATCAGGACCCGAGTGTATTCATCGCAAGTTCACCGGAATAGACGGCTACTGAATGTGCACGAGAATGAGCTTCATAGTCATGATGCCACCAGGTACGAATTCTGGACGGTACCATGATGCACCATGAGTGTATAGATGCACCCGCCGACGCAAATCCTGAAAGCCATCGAACACCTAGAAAGACGCTGTAGACTTGTTTCTCAACCCATGCGAACCTTGAATATGGGAATTTCGGAAAATTAGGGGTACCTTATTTTGGAGTCCTTATAATAAGGCTCCTACTATTTAGGGTACCATATCAGGGTCCCCTCTTTTCGGAAACTCCCATATAGAACCCTTGGCTTAGTCCATGCGTAGGCATGTGATCACTCTTGATGAAGCAGGGGTCCCACATGCCCACAGACCTCAATCCTGAACCCCCAAGCAACTCAAACCTGATAGTAAAAACCCAAGCCCATCCAAACCCTAAACCCTCAACCGAAAAGCCCTTTAACCCCCTCAATCTGAGCCTGTCTTCCCCAAGAGCTGAAAACTCCCAAGCGCTCCGCGCTTCAAGAAACAGACAACAAACAACCCACACCTACCCCGCAACTTCCGAGAGTCCTAGAGTTTGCAAAGCAAGCGATGAACGTTTGCGAAAATCCCTTTTACATTTAAAAGCAAGCGATTAAAATGGCAAAGGCCCATACTCTGAATCCCGAAAGATCGACTAAACGATCGAAGCTCCAAATTCCTTAATCCCGGCAAAAAACTTGGCCTCCCAGGAACAACCGAACCCTAAATCCTAAACCCTAAACCCCCTAAACCCTCGACGCCCTAAATTCTGAACCCTTAAACCCCCCAAACCGTAAAAGCCTCCCTCAATCTCAAGCCGCGAGGCAGCTTGGCTGGGCTTTGCCATCACCTTCCTCGCGCGGCCCTTCGGGGGGATGGCTCTAGGTCTTCTCGGAGATCTCTTCGGCCGGCTGCTTGGTTAAACCCCCCACCTGGACCCCAAATAACCTACCTTTTTTGGGTTCCATAATTACCATTTCCTTATATAAGTCCATAAAAGCATAGGTTATTTGGGGTTAAACTTGAACCCTGATCCTAAAGCCAGGCCGAATGTAGGGGCCTGCGTGGGGTTTGGGGGGCTCGTTACTATGATTATAGTATACTATGCCTAGATGCTTGGTTGAGGGCTTTAGGGGTTTAGAGCTTAGGGTTTGGGGTTGAGGGGTTTGGGGCTTTAGGGCTTAGGGTTTGGGGTTGAGGGGTTTGGGGCTTTAACGGTTTATGGTTTAGGGTTTACGCTTGAGGGGTTCACGCTTCTGGTCTGTAGGGATGTGTAGGGGTGGAGGGTTTGGGGCTTACAGGGTTTGAGCTTGAGGGGCTTAGTTAGGGTCTAATAGAGGGTAGATGGAGGGTCTAGCACAGGGAATTATATACAGGGCTTGATTGGATTCTAATTTTGGAGGGGGGCTTTATAGTTTAACATATGGATTGGGGATCTCTTCGGCGAAGCCTCGCGCAGGCATGGTACAGTGGTGTAGGGTTGCTTGTACAAGGAAGGCTTCTCTTGCCTCTATGAGGGGTTGTAGGGTTTGGGTTTTGGGACCTTTATAGTTGGAATAAGATTTTGGGTACACTGAAGTGTAACTACGTAAAGAACCCCCAACGAATGCTGGTGCGACATGCCCCTTTTGGGTAGGGATTCGGATCTGTCTCCGGGCGTTTTGGACCAGTTCTAGCAAATGGATATAGAACTAGAGGGATGAAAGCTATCTCGCTAGCTTGCAGGTGTACTTGGCAGTGGCCTTCACAACCATTCTGTAGCTAAACCATCGTCAGCGCGATTACTGCATTTATCCGCCACCCGCTCTCAATCGTTCCCACACCCCAAACCCTAAGCTTCCACTTTGGGAACCCGGCCCGCCATATCCCAAAGCCACCAATAACTTTAAGGTAGTGATATCAATAAAGACAAAGGAGCACAGAAGAGCAACCAAGGAAGGTCTAAGAAGTTGAAGATAGTGATATCATAAATAAAGACAAAGAAGTACAGAAGAGCAACCAAGGAAGGTCTAAAAGCCTGTGCTTTGGGATAATTTTTAGTTTCCCTTATTTCCTTATGAAGGGAACCTATTCATAAATAATTTTCAAAAGGTTTAAAGCACAAGACCAAGGAAGGTCTCCACGTTTCTGTCCATCTTCGGGATGTTGCTGGGCACCGTGTGCCAAGGCCTCGTTCCAAGCTTTAAGATCCTTGGCCATGACTCTTAGGTTAAGGGATCTCTAGGGGCTCCTTTAAGGGATCTATAGGGGCTCCTTTAAGGGATCTATAGGGTATCCTTTAAGGGATCTATAGGGTATCCTTTAAGGGTTTAGAGCCAGGGCTTAGATCGTTTATTAGACTTGGAGGGCCGGGGGACTTAGTAACCATAAGGGGTCTCTTAAGGGCCCCTTTAAAGGGATCTATAGGGATTCTATAAGGGTTTAGGGTTTAGGGGACTTAGCAAGTGGTTATTTTAGGGACTAAAAAGAACCATAACCCCAATTAGGGTCCCTTTTAAGGTACTTATAAGTCTACTTACTAACTACTTACTAAGTCCCCCGACCCTCAAAGTACCCAATGCTTCCAAGGATCTTATAGTTAGGGCCCTAGACCCTTTAAGGCCCCAATAAAAAGGTACCCGGAAGCCTAGGGTTAGGAATTAATTAAGGTTTCTAGGTTTTGTTTGTTCATTGGTTTCTGGCCGGAAAAGAAGCTTACAAAGCCTGACGCCCTATAAATGACCCGTGGAAAACCTACAAAACCTGAACAGGAGCATGGAGCCTTCTCTCTAAGTCTTTATGCTAGTGTTTCTTTAGGGCCTTTGGGTTCGGTGGGTTTGAGGGGTTTGGGAGTTTAGGGTTTAGGGAATTTAGGGTTTAGGGTTTAGGGTTTTAGGGTTTGAGGGTTTGGGAGTTTAGGGTTTAGGCTTGGGGGTTTAGGCTTGAGTGTCCAGGGCCATGACTCTAAATCCTTGCTTAGGGTTTTGGGGTTTGCATGAATTAATGTCCCAACCCCAAAGCAGGGCCCATAGACCAACGGAACATGGGAGTTTCCGAAAATGGGGGACCCTAATATAGCACCCCAAAAAGTCGGATCCTATAAGAGCCTCAAATATGGTACCCTTAATTTTCGGAAACTCCCAAGTAAGCTTCTGGGACCTTTGCAACCCCTTCTTAGCAACTCTCACGCCACCGTCCAAGCTGAAGCCTTGGCAGCCTCTGCCTCATATTTTGGCCCTTGAAACGCTTCTATTCTCTTGAGCCCTGAACAGCCCAAAAATATGATATAACAGAATAGATTATATTATGCAACAGACTATAACACAATATTATAACAGAATATAGTATGTAATTTACTCTAAACTTTAAGCCGCCCGCAAGCTAAACGAAGGGGTCTGACCAATTTGGTAACAGTATCCCCTTGTAGTCTCCATATCTTGCGGCCGCGAAAAGTCTTGGACCTTGTGAAGGATGCTCAGAGTTTCGCTAAAAACGAGGAGCTATGTGGCTGAATCATCAACCATACTTGGAGGGTCGGGGGACTTAGTAACTGGTTATTTTAGGGACTTAGAAGTACCATAGCCATAACCCCAATTCGGGTCCCTTTTAGGGTACTTATAAGTCTACTTACTACACACTTACTAAGTCCCTCAACCCGAAACCCTAAACCCTATAGTACCCCTATAGAGCCCTTTAAAAGAACCCTTATAATCCCTTTAAAGGAGCCCCTACTTACTAAGTCCCCCGACCCTCCAAGTACTATATACCCCAGACCCTCTTCGACCGATTCAGGTCTTGTTCCTAAACCCTAGACCCTAAGCCCTAAACCCTGGACCCTAAACCCCGTAAACCTTAGACCCGAAACCCTAAACTAAAACCGATATAAGCTCTAAGCCCTAAGCTTTAAACCAGGAATGGCGAAGCTCTTGGCTATCTGGGCCTCGTACTCCTGGTCCTGCTGCGGGTGGTGCAGGGCTTCTTAGTAGCTGAAGTCCTGTTTCTTAGTTCTTTTGCTTAATATAGCCCTAAGGGTCCAAGTACCTAAGAATCATATACTCTTCTGAATGCTAACCTCAAAACTACTATCCGCAACTCAATTACCTGATTATTAGGTCCTTTGGACCCTTGGGGTAGGCCTCATAACTTATAACCTTCAAAGTTCTGAGACCTTAGGTTGGTATACCTTCGAAGGCCCCCCCACCCTGTAATAGTGGTATTATGGGAAAATAATAGGACCCTAATATACAGCTTATAGTCAATATTACAGGGTGGGGGGGGCCTTCTAAGGTATACTCCTGCTTACGCCTGAAAGTTGCAGTTTGTTTTGGCTTGTGAAGTCGGCAACTAAGGCATCTCCACTGGTGGCGAGATCGCAGCGGTCCCCACCTACCTCACCGAGGCACTGTTGGGCTGTAGGCCTTCTGGTCAGTAGGGTTTAGGGTTTAGGGTTAGGGTTTAGGGTTTAGGGTTTAGGGCTTAGGGTTAGGGTTTAGGGTTTAGGGTTTAGGGCTACTTCAGGGCCGTTTAGTTTTAGGGCCTAGAGCCCTTCAGGCACTGTGGGATTTGCGGTTCAATTACGACCGTTCTGGGCCTGTCAGAATTTAAGGTCTCTTGGCTCTAGGGTTTAGGATACCTGAGCTAAGAGTTTGTGGGTGCACGACATTCCCGAGAAGCCACCAACGGTCACCAACGCCTCTGAATTCAAGGAACGAGCTGTACATCAAAACAAGATCCCTTGTTGCTGGAGGTATAATCGTCATTTACGGATATAGCTTCTCCGGGTGCAGAGAGATGGAAGCCGCCATCTAAGGTGCCAGAGCATCTATGTTAGGCTCTAAACTCGAAGCCCTGAACCCTAAACCCTTCTAGCGACCCTTGACTGATTCAGCGAACCTGAGAACTTCAAACTTTTCGGCCTAGCATATTTGTTCTTCATAGCAAGCCTGAGATTCTTGTGGCTCGGCTATACTTATGAACCCTAAACCCTAAAGCTGGACATGCTTGTTGATGAAGAGGCCTCAAACCCTAAGCCCTTAAGCCAGATGCCCGGGAACTTATACTACAACAGACTATGATGTACTATACAACTCTACTTGTCACCCTAAACCTTATATTCTACCTGTAGCCGAAAAGACCTACCTTTTTTCAGGAACTATATATAGAAACCATAATAAAGAGCCCTAAAAAGGTTGGCCCTTTCGGCTACAGGTACACCCTAAACCGTAAGTCTGGGGACCTTCCAAAACCCCTTAGTTGGGATCCTTAATATGGTTTAAGGTATATTCCTTAATTAAGGGATTTTGGAAGGTCTGGGTCCCCTGGGCCTCCCTGAAAAGGTGGGTGCCAAGAAGAGCCTGGCCTGCTGCATCGTCCTCATCCCGGCGACCTCGCAGGTGCTTCGGGCCAGCCTTGTCCTTTTTCATGGTTCCCCCAAAAGAATAAACAGACCGGCTAGTAGGCCTTCTCAAATAGTTCCTACTAAAGGATATAGGTATGGGGCTCTGTCTATTATTTCTAAAAGGACAAGGGTGCTTCGGGCCCCCTGCAGCTAGGGTTTGGGGCTTAGGGGCTTTGGGTTTTAGGGGTTTAAGGGTTTACGGGATTAGGGGCTTAGGGGCTTAGGGCTTTGGGCTTTGGGCTTAGGGGTTTAGGGGTTTAAGGGTTTAGGGGCTTAGCCAGCGGTGCAGGGGTGTAGGTTTAATGGGGGCTTGGGGCTGAGAGTTAGGAATTTTGATTTATTGTTCTTAGAGTGTGAATTAAGGGGATTAATGAGAATAGTGTTTTTTTCTGGTTCTAAAGGCGGCTAAGTAGGGCTTGGGGCTCAGGAGTTTAGGGGTTTAGGGTTGGGGGTTTAGGGATGAGGGTTTGGTTTGTTGTTGGTTTGGGGGGTTTAGGGTTGTGGAGGGTGCCAGGAGACTTCCATCCCCTTTGAAGAATGGATCTGTTCCCCCAAAATAGCCCTTTATCATGCAGCCCTGATTCCTTTAATCAACGAGACTTCCTTGAAATTAGTTGTATAATATAGATCTATGCCTGAATCAGGCATGGGAAGGGTTTGGGGTCTGAGACTTGTAGGGTTTGGGCTTGTGGGTTCAGGGAGTTGGGTGCTGGAACTCCGCTTTGTTGACACTCAGCGGTTTGAATGGGATGTAGGGCAAGCTTGGAGTTTAGAGTTTAGGGTTGGGGGTAGGGCCCAGAAGCAACACTTATTCCACAGAACACGCAGCCCCGAGTGACCAGGACCCTGCAACGCTCTGAGTGTTAGCGCAATACCCTTCAGCTGAGCTTGTGTCTCCCAGAGACTCCAATATCCATTAATTAAGGAATATACCTTAAATTATAGTAGGATCCTTAATATGATTTAAGGAATATTCCTTAATTAAGGGATGTTGGAGTCTCTGGGCTTGCCGGAGGCCCAAGTTATTGATTATACAAAAACTCCACCCTAAGGCCCCACAGTAGTTCCTTTTTGGGGTTCATCTTTAGGATCTTATTAGGAAATCCCAAAAAGGAACTACTATGGGGCCTCTGGGTAAAGAACCCCGGTCTAAAGGTAACAGTCCGTACATCGGCGGATTCAGCGGGAACAGACGTATTCGACTTTGTTTGTCGCAGAAACGGGGGAAGGAATGACACCGACGATGAATTCCAAGGGATGCCTGCATCCTATAATTTGTAATTACCGTCTAAATCGCAACGTAGTAGGATCCTTATCATGGGGACCGCTGCATAACAGTCATGCCACAGCCCATGTGGCGAGGCCATGCATCGCGCACTGCAAACCCAAAACCCCCGCCCTGAAGCGCTGAAGCCTAAAACCTTACATTCCAGACCCTCCGATATACCTTGAAACTTAAACCATGTTAGGCATCCTATTTGAAATCAAGGTATACCTTAATAAGGAGCCCTAAAGGGTAGGTTTTCCAGGGTTAAGGTATTCCTTAATTCAGGGATATTTGGAAGGTCTGGGTTCCAACCCCTGAAGCCCTTTAGGGTTTAGGGTTTAGGGTTTAGGGCTTAGGGTTTAGGGTTTAGGGTTTAGGGTCCAAACCCCGAACCTCGGAGGTCGGCTACTTCCTGGCCCAGTTCGCAGCTCAGAGCTTTCGGGGTTCAATGTTTTGTAAGCTAGAGGCTCCAAATATAGTACCATTATGGAATTAGGTCCCCAAAGCCATGATATGGATGGTCTTTTGGGACCTAATTCCATAATGGAACTATATGTGGAGCGTCTGGGTAAGTTGGTTTAACTGTTGTTTAGGGGGCATTTTTTTTGTTGTTTAAGCGTTCACGCTTTCCCGAGGCTACAAGGGTGTTGGGGGTTTGAGGGTTTTGATGTTTAGGGTTCTTCAATTCAAGTACATGAGCAACGCAGCTTGAACATGGAAAGCGGAACTGCGCCGTGCCGTAGCTCTGGGCCTTACGGTTAGGTGAGGCACGTGTTCCAACCTTTTGTGGTTCTAGAACAAGCAGCCTGGTACTCCCTTCGTAATCCCAGAGGTTAACCTGTGTGTCTCCTAGGACATTGGACAAGTTCGAAGAAAAGCAATGCTAAGAAACTTAAAGCTTGCTCCGGTTTTGAACCCTTAGCATCCCTTAGCCCTATAATCATGAGCTTATAAACCCCTAAACCCTAAAGCCCTAAACCCCTCAACCCTAAAGCCCGAAACCCCAAACCCTAAACCCCTAAACCCTAAACAGAAGGTCAGACTGCCACTGCACATAATTCGTAGCGACGATCTCAGCTAGAAGTCATACGCAGCACGATCGGGTCGAGATAACCTCGCAAGTCACTCAGAGTAGAAGAACCCTATAATGTTCAACACCTGACCAAGAATCTTCTGCCCCAAGCGCTGCGCCAAGATTCAGCTTGGCTAAGACAGGGGAACTTCCACTCCTGCAGGAAGAACTCGAGTTTGCATGACACCACGTCTCCCCAACCCAGTGCGCAATCGATCCCGCTCAAGCGATGCTGCAAATGGACACAAATTCTGCTGCTCAAAAAGTCAGTGTTATAGCAATTTAGCTCAACTGCTTCTCGTTTGGGAGCCACTCCTCTGATCACTCCGAGGCGAGGCTGGGATCGCTACAAACTCCAGCTAGACCATCCAAGCAAAGTACCATCAGCATTCAGTTCGTCTGCAGATGGGCAACGCCATCGGCGGCGAAGAGGAGTTCGACGGCTCCCCGTTCAGAGCGAGGACGGAAATTTGACAGGAACGCAACAATCACAATCCAAGTTTGTGCTTTCCCGTTGCTACGAAAGGTCGGATGGGCGGTGGTGTTGGCGTAGCACATGGTCACTGGTACGTCTACGCTGCGGCTGCTTAGCAGCACAGGAAACCACCCACCCACACCCACACACACCCACACGCACACACACACAGAGACACAGAGACACACACACACACACACACACACACACTCACTCACTCACTCACTCACCCAGGCCGACACACTTCCCAAACTGCTGGCCGGGCAAAGCCGCGCAAAAGAGATTTGTCCAAACTGATGGTGGCATTTCCCTTTGTTTGCCCGATCACACCAGCTCAAACCGTCAGGCAGCCGACTCGATGATCCACAGCAGCGGGTTCACTATCCTGCCCGAGTTCTTGGGCCCGATTCTCACCGGAGCCAAAGTCTGGGAGCTGCGCAAGACCGCATGCAAGGACGCCCTAGGGAAGCGCGTGCTGTTGGTAGGCAGCAAGACTGGCCAGTGCTGGGGCAACGTAAAACTGAGTGGATGCCTGAAGCTGACCACACAGGAGGTGAAGTTGCACGAGAGCAAGCACCGAGTGGCAGCAGATAAGATCGAGCGCTACACAAACAAAACCGGCTGCCTGCACGCCTCGGTGCTCGCCGAACCGCACATTAGGCAGCATGAACTGGGTGAAAGTCAGCAAGGTCTGAGACAGCCACGAGCAGCGGCAGGCACTGTCAGCGTGCAAAGGGACCACAGTAGAAGAGCTACACGCCGAAATGGCCGCGCGTGCGCCCGGGAATTCAAAGCCCAGCGAGCCGGCAAGCGCAAGTGCGACGAGCACACAGACGATGCCGCTCATCATTTGGCCCCATGCCCACGAGGCGAGCCGAACTAATAACAACTAGGATATGCCAACCGTCCCCAACCCGGCGCAGGTATCCTGTATGCTGGCGGAGGATTACATGTGGGCTACTGCCGACTGGCTCGATCCGGAGGCCGGTGTGCATGCATCCACAACTCGCAAGAAGCACCTTCAGCGGAAGGAATATAACTACAAAGTCGCATTGGAGGCGCGCACCAACAGGACCACACGAGCTGAGATTGCGCCTTAAGGAGCCAGACAATCCTCACTTCCGCTTCGTGCGTCCGACGAGAGCCGAAGCAGAGGCAGGGGTATCGTCACAAATAACAGTCTTCAAGCAGAATATCCGAGGCACGTCGCGTGGAACAAGAGCTTCAGGCGGACCTCGAGGACAGAGCTGTCCGCCACAATTCGACACGTGGTGCCACCCAATGAACTCCAGGAAACAAGGTCGATACACTCTTGCGACATCACCGAGGAGGGAGAAGCAGCAGGGCCCTAAACCCTAAAACCTAAACTTTATAGACTCGATTATTTGTAAACCCTATATACCCTCGATTCGATTATTATAAGACCTAAACGCTAGATTCGAACAATTCCGTAAAGGAGCACTTAGACTGCTTCGATGGGAGTTTCCGAAAATGGGGGACCCTACTATCGTACCCTACATAGTAGGAAATGAGGTACCCCTCATTTTCGGAAACTCCCAGATCCAGGTTGGTGAGTTTTGCGTTCGAGGAGTCCCTTGGAGAGGAGACCGGGGACGAATCCGAAAGAGAGATCCTCAACAGGGAGTTTGGGCTTAGGGTTTTGGATTTCGGGATTTAGGTTTTTGGGGTTTAGGGTTTGGAGCTTGGGGGTTTTGTGGTTTATAGGGGTATAATGTGTAAGTAGGGGTTTCGGGGCTTATAAGGGGCCGCCCTTCGTACACGTTAAAGGGCCGTGCTCCCTGATACTCTCACTATGATTGTATCAAAATATGTCCCGAATAGTCGAGTGTTCGTAAAAGCCGTTATATGATATCCCTTACAGGATCCCTTAAAAAAGCCGTAAAGGATGCCTGGAAGGAACCTGTAAACGGATCCCTTATATGAGACCCTTTATGGGAGCTTAGGAGGATCCTCATAGAACCCTTACAGAAAACAGGATCCTTATAGAAGCCACATACTTATAGTGTAAACGAAGAAGCGTTTCCTTCTAAATGAAGCTCCTAAACTTTAAACATCTCTGAACCCTATAGACCTTAAGGCCTGAACTTTAAACCTTTAAACCCTACATAAACCCAAGTCCAGGAGGCGATGACGAGCTGGGGGTGGCGCTTGCCATTTCTCCTGGCTCTTCTGCCGGGCATCACGGCCACCCTGGGCCGCAGGCAGAGACGGGCTAGGGCTTATAGGGTTAACACATATTTAGTATACTACTGATATTCATTATATTAATAATGCCAATAACCCCAAAACCCAAAACCCTAAACCCCCACTATGAACCGTCAACCCTATAGTCCTAGACGCTATATGAGTTTAGCGGCTCCTAGGGTCCATGGGGATTCTCGGACTTCTGGGGCTTTGGGGTGGAAGTTGCGTCGCAGGGCTCATTTTCCAAGGACTGGAGCCTGCAAGGTAGCAGGCGAACTGCTCCGTCCAGTCGCCCACACCGCGGCAACCTAGAGTTTAGGGCGTGAGATCGTTGCGGCTCACGGAGAGCACTTCTCCGTCCTCATCCCCTCTCACGGGACGATGCCCATTCTCCGCCGGCGCATGGAGCTGGCAGCGGCTCAGGGCCTAAATCCTATTGTAAACCCGAAACCTTACTATAATTATCCTTAAACCCTAGCCTAACGCTGAACCTGGTCTGATGGCGTGTAGTCTCAGCAGCAGACGCAGCCGAATTCGTTTCTTTCGTCGGCCACAAATCTGTGCCGAGCACATGGAGCCAGGTCTTGGGTGCTGGACTGCAGGAAGGCTGACGTGCTGTCGCAGCTAATTAATAACAGTATGAATAATTCTAAGAGTGTTATTGTTATCAGTCTTAGTATAATTGCATGTACATAAGTACTGTTTATCCCTTTTGTAATTATAAGCATTGTTGTTCTGTACTTGTTTTAAGTCGTATTCGCATTGTTCTTCTTCCTGTTATGACTGTTGTTTTATTTTGTTTTTTGTCATTATGCTCTTGCCGGCTGCTCCTGTGTGGGTCCTCGGGCTCAACTATTGGGCCGTCCCAAACGATTCTTGTCCGCCTGCCAATGCGCCACTTTCGTACTTCTCAGTAACGTCGTGTGCAGCTCAGCTGCGGGTTTAGACTCTACTGGTTTTCGCCTCTCCTTGACTCAACCATTGATGAAGTCAAAAAACAAATCGAGACTCTCCTACCCGAGAGTGCAGCGGGCCCTAGTTACAGGAGTCCTTGGAGCGACAGCGCTGAACCAGACTGCATTTTGGAACATACCCTAGGGCTCCAAGTATACAAGTAGTACCTACTTTGGGGTTTAAAGTCTATAAATACTACCTACTTTGAGCTATTTGGAGCCCAAGGGATAAATTTTCCCAAATCATAAGTACTATCCGAAACCTTATTATTTGGTCCTTTGGACCCTTAGGTGATTAAACCTTTTCTATAGCATCACCTCAAAATCCCAACTGTTCTAATTGCTAAACCCTACCCTAATGCTCCTGGACCCTCGTAGTGAGATCCCAAACCTTAGCCCCCAAAGCCCAAACCCTCCCTCAAAAAGCCCTTAACTGTTTTAGGAGCCTTAGGCCAACTGTTCTACTTGCTAAACACCTTGCAGTTAAAGCCCAAAAGTTGGAAACCCAATAGCCTCATTCCTTAAGAGTAATGTATAGGGAATCCCAGCACTATTTGGCCTCAATCCGGTTTCCAACTTTTTGGGGTTTACTTAAAACCTAAACCCTAAAGCTCTAAACCCTAAAACCCTAAAACCCTAAACCCTAAACCTTAAACCCTGAACCCTAAACCTTAAACCCTAAACCCTAAGGGCTTACTGCTTAAAACCGTAATCCCTGCGGCAGGTGCATCCCAGAGTCCGAGGCGTACCTTAGAGCGCAGGCGGGGGTTCGGCCCCAGTGCACTCTTGGGGTCTATACTACGGAATATAGGGGCTTTAAACAAGTACCTATACTATTTTGGTGGTTCCTTATTATAGTTATAGTTAATTATAGTATAATGGGCTACTCAGTGGATCCGTTCGCGGAACCGGAATGGGAATGGAATAATGGGCTACGGAACCCTATTCTGATTATTAAGGCCCCTTTATTATCGGTGTAGGATAACTGTTAATTTCCTTTGTTGCTTAACGTCGCGCTCTAGTCATTGTTGAAATATAGAAAATAGGCATCGTGCCTCTATTCTTCTCATAGCAAAAAACACGATTTTTGCAAGAGCTAAACCTTAAGCCCCTAACCCCTTAGACCCCCGAAGCACTAAAAGCCCTGAACGCCAAACCCTCTTCCACCGTGGCGGATGGCAAAAGCGGCACTAAAAAAAACAAAACTCTCCCAATTCAGCAAGGAGGCTAGAGGCTTCAAGACAGATGGTGGTACATAGTTTATGGGCTTGATGGCTGAGGGCTGAGGTACAGGAGTGTGGCGGTTCCGGGGATTAGGGTTTGGGGTTGAGTGGGACTGGGGTTTGTGATTTGGCTGTCTTTTTTGCGGGCCCTGGCAAACCTAGTAGCAGAGCAAGTAACCTTTAACCTTTTTTGGGTAGTATAGTCCCTATATATAGCCCCTATACAATCAAAAAGGTTAAATTTAGTTCCCCATGATACCCGGCAAGTAGGCGAAGCTGGCTTTTTGTTCGTAGTCGGATCTGTAGCTGCAGGAAAAGAAGGTTTCCATGCTCAGGAAGCCGTTACCCTAAGGATCTAAGGACTCATCTATTAAGGCTTTTGGGCCCAAGGACCATACAATAACGAAGGCTTTTGGGCTATTTTGATCCCTTAGGGTTATGCCACAGATCCTAAGCCGTAGACCCGAACCAGCTAGGCCCAAACCCTGAAGCCCCCTCCACCCAAAGCCTCATACACCTTTATATCATTCAGCCTGTCGGGTTGAGGTGGTTGTGGGTTTAGTTAGGGCTAGGGGAAGCCTGAGACCTTTAGACTCATAGATTCAACCCGTGTACTTATATATTATGTCCCAAATTTAGATATGCATGTCATGTCCCCTTTCCAAGCCCCTAAACCGTTAGCATCTCCACAATCTGAAAGCAACCCATAGCAAAAGCCCAGCAACACCAAAAAAACTCACAAGACCCCGTTACATCATAGAAAGCCAGTTGAAATCCTGCTAAAGACGTGAAACAGAACCCTGCAATTATAGGTGCCCTAAATAAATACATACCTACATTAGCCCTTGGACTCCTCAGCGTGATTCTAGTATGATAACACTAGTCTAGTTATTCAGGCCCCTATGCCCTAAACCCGAAACCCTAAACCCAGCCTCAGGTGGACTTCCAGGGGTAGTTATAAGTAGGGTCATAAGTAGGGTAACTATACTTATATCTAATATTAGGGGACTATACCCCTACTTATAACTACCCCTGAACCTCCAAGTAGGGTAGATTCCCTAAACCCCTAAACCTTAAACCCTAAACCCAGATTCAGGTGGACTTCCCTGCCCAAGACGCCCGCAGTGCGGCGAGCTCGGCCCTCGCAAAGACCCGCGAGCTCCTGGGCTTTTTTTTTAGGCCTTGGTGGATTTATTTGGGGTTTACAGGATTAATTTGGGTTTTTTTGGCTTTTAGGATGTGTCTAAGGTTTACAGGGTTTATAGAGTTTGTTTAAGGTTTATAGGGTTTATTGGGTTTATATACAGTAATTTATTTAGGGTTTATAGTGTTTTTCAGGATTTATTTAGGGTTCATAGGGTTTTCGGTTGTGGATTTAGAGGGTTGAGGGTTGTTCATCAACATGTGCATTGCTATGGGTTTTGAAGCTTCTTGAGAGTTTGTACGGAGGGTCAATTGAAAAGATATTGCATGCGGTGTTGTAGGGTCATAGTGGAGTCTTCTGTAGGGGGCTTGGACTTTTGTAGGGTTAAGGTTGTGCTTGAGGGATCGTTGGACCTTCATGCCTCCCCTAAAACACGAAACCCTGGCAGCCCTAGACCCTAAACTCGAAGCTTGAAGCATCAAAGCCCCAAAAACCTTCGACCCTAAACCCTAAACCCTCCCTAAACCCTCAGCCCGGAAACCCTCGACCCTATACCCTAAACCCTCCCTAAACCCTAAGCCCTAAAGCCCTCGACCCTAAACCCTAAGCCCCAAAGCCCTCAAGCGATAGACCCGGACTCCCTCTTTTGGGGATCGGGCTTTGGGTCTAAGCTCCTGAGTGGTTTTGGGCTTTTGGGTTTCGGGTTTAGCATTGCAAGTTGCGAGGGCTTTTGAGGCATCCTTAAAGGTTGGCTAAAACCCCGGAGATCAAAATAGCCCACAAGCCTTCTATAGTATGGTCTTTAAGCCCAAAGGCCTTAATCTGCATGAGTCCTTAGATCCCCTAAACCTTAAAATCTCTTTCTCTTTAGAAAAACTCAAAACCCTTAGAACAAAATAAACCTTAAAGCTTCATTAGAAAAATCAAAAATCCTTAAACAAATAAAACTAAACCCCAATGTCTCAGGCTCATCCGAGGCTACGGGCCGAAATTGCTTCTGGGCTTCGGGGCCGTCGCTGCCGTCTCTGTGCTTCAGTGCCCTTGGTTTCAGGGAGTCCCGAGGTTTTGGGTTTTGGGGTTCCGGGGTTTAGGATTTGGGGTTTAGGGGTTAGAGTTTAGGGTTTACGGGTTAGGGTTTTGGGTTTTGGAGTTCTAGGGTTTAGGATTTAGGGTTAAGGGTTTAGGGTTTAGGATTTTAATTTAGGTTTTAGGGTTGGTTTAGGTTTTCCACACTTCCTGTGGCTTAGAGCCGGATTTAAGTCATAAGGGGCTCTATAAGGGGTTTATAAGGTGTTCTATGTTACAGGGTTTATGCAGGGATTCTGCAATGGTTTACCAGTGGTTGACAAGGGGTTCATAAGGGTTGTGGCTTGTAGGTTTCCTGATGGGGTTGCTTTCGGCGTCTATGAGGAGTCTAAAGAGTGTCTACAGCCTACAGCGGATCATCTACGGGGTTCGTTTTGGGTGCGTGAGCCTAGGGTTCAATCGCGCGAGGGCTCGAAACCACCCCCCCAGCAACCGGCGCCTCCATGAGCCAGAGCCCCCAAACCGGAAACTCTGAGCGACAGAGCTCTAAGCCTTGCTTCCTCAGGTTGCCATATATACTCCCACTATGGAATCAGTGCCCCAAAACCATAATGGGGATGGTCTTTTGGAGTCAGAGTGGTAGTAGACATGGACCCTCTGGCTTCCTGACAATCCTAGCTCCAGAGTCCAGAACCCCAACAGCAACCAACAGTGTATACAGGCCTAAAGCCCAAATCGGACGGTCCCAGGGTACATCCAGAAATTCGTCGTTGTTCTTCCTGTCCTGAAAGCAGGAAGCTTTGAACTCGAAAGCCTTGAACAAGCCTTAAGCCATGCAGAAGAGCCAAGCTTTTCTGACCACAATGCGAGGGTAGTGTTGGGTTTAGGATATAGGGCTTTAAACGGTTCTCCTTCTTGGAGGCCCCTCAATACAACACAGACACTTCGGCTAACAAAGACTTCATTTAGGGGGTCGGATTAAGCCAATTTTGGTCGCGAATAGAACTAAACTATACTGTAGTATCCCCTGCACTCGATTGCAACGATTAAGAGCCAGACATAAACCCCCAGAGCCCTTTTGGAGCCCATGCCAGGAGCTTCTTACAGTCTTACAGCTACCGTATTCTAATCATTCAGAGAGGCCTAGTGTCGAGTAGGTAACCTTTAACCTTTTTTTGAGTAGTATTGTCCCTATATAATCCCTATATAACCAAAAAGATTAACCTTTAGTTCCCCGTGATACCCGACAAGTAGGGAGGCCTTGTGTAAGCATATTCGGTTATAGGGCACGGCCTGTTTCCCTAGGAAGGAAGGAGAACCCTGCAGAGGTACGGCGGCATGACCTGGGGGTTGGTAACACTCAAGTACCTCGGCTTGCCCTGCTCAGAGAGTGTTTTTGGGATTCAGGTTCAGGATAGCAGCTGTTTAGGTTGGTATTTGCGGGAGCCTTAGCACCTATCCAGGGTTTAGGGTTTAGTAGCTCGGGTTGGGGTCTGTGGGTTTAGGCTTTACAGGGTTTATAGGTTGGGCGTTTATGTGCTCCTTGGGGTTGTGCTGTGTTGCGTGTGGTCTGTGCACTGGTTCGCCGGGGTCCCTCGCCTGTCCTGTCTGATCGTAGTGGATGGGGCTGCTTTCTTTTCACTAGGGTATTAAAGGCTGTAAGAGGGTCGTCGTTGTGCTTTTTTGGATTTTAGATGAGTTGGAGAAAAAACCTCACCTTAGCTCTGCCTCCTGTACGAAAAGTGTCCTACACCCAAACCCTCAAGACGGTGTGTTTTCGGGCCTTCGGATCTCGGCTGTCCGTTAGTTCCCTAACCACCATGGCAGAGCAGCAGGGTTTAGGGTTCAGGCCCTTGGCGCGTCGTCAACCAGAGCCTAAAACCCTAAAGCACTGTGGACTGTACGCTGGGTCTCGAATCTGTTGGCCAAGGTTTGCCCTACACCTGCATATTCGTATCCCCAAACCTTAAAGCCTAAGGTTTTAAAAGCCCTATAGTGAAAACCCCAGATTAGAACCTGACACGCCGAAACCTAGAGCTCTGATTCCAAAATCCTGAACATCCCTAAACCCTAAATCCTTAAACCCCTCAGCCAGGAAAAGTGGCGTCTCTGGCCGGGTCCGCATCGCAGCCGGGGCAGCGGCAAATGCTTTAGCAGCTCGACCTCTCCGACGACTAGCCCAGACCTTGTATCCCTTAGTTAAGGAATACACTTCAATTTGTCGTAGAATCCCTCATATGATTTACGGCATATTCCTTAATCAAGGGATAGTGGGAGGTATGGAAACATAGGGAAAGCTGACGGTCTATGCGTCGAAATAATGAGTTACTAAACATATGCCCTGGGGTTCCTAAACCCAGCTTATAGTGTCAAAACCCCTAACCCCCACAAGCATTGTTCAGGCTTCTAGAGTATGTCTATAGGTTACATAATCAAGGCGGTTAAGAAGTATGGTTTACAGTGCTTTGCTGTGACCAGCAGCCGGAAATCAGTGGCTGATCTGTCACGGGGGGGGGTGGGAAATCTTAAAGAGTACAGTTGGGAAGCTCATCAACACTAGAATGCCGGATGTATCCCCGTATTGTAATATATTCGCCGAAACCTTCTTCTGATTCTTTAGGCCATTCTGGTGTATTGCAGCGGCGCTGTCCAGCGGGGAGCTTCATCCAGACCCGGCTGATTAGTTCATGTGAGTTCCCTCAACCCAAACCCTAAGCCATATCGGCGTGGCAGCTATGCGGTTTCGTGTTGATGATGCAGGTTTGGGGTCCATTTTCGGACTCAGGGTTGATTCCCGGGTTGAGGGCTTAAATTCTTTGAAGGTCCGTCCAAACTCCATGCAAAGTCAATGCTCCTACAGAGCCCGCATAGCGTCCTCCGAGAACCTTGGCCTGAAAAGTGTCAGCTCTTCATCAACACCCTGTCCTGTAGAAAGAAACACAAGGCCCTAAACCCTAAACCCCAAACCCCTATATAAACCCAAAACCCCCTAAACATCTAAACTCCCAAACCCTTAAGCCCTATAAACCCTAACCCCAAACCCCAAAATAAACCCTAAACCCTTTAAACCCCCAAACGCTTAAGCTCTGAACCCACAAGGTCATCCTGCTGGGCCCTGTGGTCGGACTCTTCGCAGATCGCCATGGCGTTGCCTTCATTCAGCTCGTCGGAAGCCTCTCCCTCATGGTGCCCCTTAGGGTTTAGGGTTTAGGGAGCTTTACCAAAGTCCTTCAATCCGTAAACCCAACACCTCAAGAATTCTTGGAGGTTGAGCGTCCTAAGAGTCCGGTGCCAACTCAACAAGCCCTCGCTTGTGCCAACGACCTCAAACAGGTTTTAAAGACTCCAGAAAGTCTGAGTCTGCGACTCGAATCCTGATCCTGCGAGGTGTTTGGCGGACCACTCCTCGTTGCGATCAGCACAGCGGAGCAGCCGGAACTCATCATCTTACTGTCCCTTGGCTACCCATAGGCCCCATAGTAGTTCCTTTTTGGGATTACCTTATAGCAGTCTACATATGAAGCCTCAAACGGAACTGCTTTGGGGCCTGTGGTTATAGTAATGGCTCCGGGATGTTCAGGGTGTGTAGTAAAGGTTCTATAGAGTTCCGGGCTTCCTCTGTAGGGTTGTGGAGCTCCCGGTGGTTTGGATGAAGGTTCACACAAACAGACCACAAGCCCTCATTACTTTAGTTGAGGGCTGACTGCTTATTGTAGGGTTCGGGGGGTGTCTTCAAAGATTCCAGCGCGTCTGAGGTTAAACACCAGGGTATGTAGGGTCTCTGGGTGTACAAGTGGTGTGGTCATACTGTCAAATCCCGGAAGACTATTGCGAGCTTATCCAGCATGTAGGTGCAGAAGAAGCTACGCGTTGGCCCGCCTCCGAAGCAAAACTTCACTATCGGAACCTTTACAGGAACCCTCAAAGTGACGTTTAATGTAACGGATCCGAACGTCTCAAAGTTTAGGTACGGCTTGGGCTATGGGATTCTCGGTGCCCTCTTCATGGTGCACATGCTCCAGGCAAGGGTTTAGGGTTTCGGTTTCAGCGAAGATGGCGCATGTCTAGCCGAATGCCCTGGGGTTCGAAGATTTAGGGAGTTTGCCTACCTATAGTCTCAATTGTCGTTTCTTTTCTTTGCTTAACCAATTATATATTAAGGATCCTGTAAAGTAACCCCCAAAAGGAGCTACAATGGAGACTATAGGTAGTGTTCCAGCTTTAGCGGCTCAGAGGTTCGAGGGATCTCCTATTTGTGTAAAGGGGAACTCCAGAAAGTTGGTATATATATATATATATATATGGTTTCAGGGCAGGATATACCCTATAATTTACCATAGAGGGTTTAGGATAATAATATTCCAACTTTCTGGCTTCTACTGTAGAGTTGTTCTGAGCCCGAGCATTGGATCAGAAGGAATCTTACAAACAGCCCAACATCTGGCAGTTGAAGTCACCCTGTTGACGTTTTGTTCAAGTTTAGGGCTGCGGTTTGGGCTAACACGAACCCGAAGCCCTAATTCAGCATTTCAGATCTGGGAGTCTGCAACTTACAAGGATGTCACCAAGCCTTACCTTAACCCGGAATAGTCTACTTTTTTACGGACTCATATAAGGAAGTCATAATAAGGATCCCTAAAAGGTAGGTTCTTCAGGCTTAAGGGAAACCCTAAACTTCAAAAGGCTTTAGTGACCGGGGCCTCAGGGGTAGGGTGGGGTTTGAAACACCAGGTGTCAGAGGCCCCAACCAGAGGCTCCGCCTGGTAAGGCATTCCCGCTATCACCACTTGGAAAAGAGCCCTAAAACCTCTTTGTGTGTACAGGGACCCTCACAGAATTCATGACTAGCCCTCAAACCAACAAAAAAACCTGTACACCCTACTAAAATATTCCAGGACTTTTTCAGTGCTTTTAGCAGATTCCATTTAAGAGATTTGATTTGCAACGGTTCTAGGCTCTAGGGGGTGGTTGAAGAACTTGAAGGAACCCTTAAAGGAACCTTGAACTTCAAGCTGCTAAACTTTTCAAATTTCTAGACGCATATCGTGTAACCGGTGCCCCAGACCCAAAGCCCTAAATCCTAAACCTTTGCATAATCCTTACTGCAGAACCCGTTACCACGGACACGCTGGATGACCCGGACCTTGTGGACGAGGCCTACGACGATGAGCAGCCCTCCCCTGAAGAGCTTGTGGTGCAGTCCCTGGAAGACCATGCGCTGAACTGCTGAACAAGATGGAAACCGTCCAGGTGCAGGCAGAGATTGAAACGGAAGGCGGGGCAGCCCCAGTGCAGGATTGCCCTCCGGGCCAGAAACGGCAGGCTCGACAGTGCCTCCTATCCTCGATGTCGTGTCCAGCGCCGCCCCGGCCAATGACCCATCAGAGCAACGCCCCATTCGGACCTGATCCGGACTGCTTCAGCTGATCCGCAAACTTCCAGAGTTCAACATGGAAGGGGCCGAAGCAGAGTCCCTCGGGGCTTTGATGGTCAGACAATCATTGCTGGTTGTTCGGATGCGAGCCATCATAGCTGCAGCTCGCATCGGTGAAAACACCCTTAAAGAAACCATTAAGGGAACCCGAAACCCTAAACCCTTCAACGAACCCTCAAAGGCGCCCTTAACAGAGCCTTTAAAGGAGCCCGCACAATAATGCAGAAGCCGGAACATTTAGCGACATTATTCCTTAGGGTTCTTCATGATCATCATTATTCTAGAATATCTTGGTAATTCTTTAGGTCCCTGTACTAAACCCCGAAAATACCGCTTATAGTAATCCTTGTAGACCCCTTTAAAAGGAGCCCTTTAAAGGAACCCTATTCTATTTATTCAGGCACCAGTTACTGAAGCCCTCAAGCCCCAAATCCTTATAGAACCCTAAGCCCTAAACTTTAAACCCTAAATCCTGGACCCTAACCTTGAATCCTGAACTCCAACCCTAAACCCTAAACCTCAAATCCTTAAACCTGGGTTTGGAGTACCATACTTGAATACTTTTTTTTGGGTATCTGTTCCCTAAAGGAACCATTATGAAATAAAAGTCTCTACTTTTTTCTCCCTGGTTACTTCAAATCCTTAAAGAGCGAACCACAGAAGAGGCCTCGAAATCCTCAAGGCGACCAGCCCTTGATTTCAGCAGGTGGTCGAGCTTTTCCCCGTGGAGGTGCGGAGCCCAACTCCCGTGTTGTTGGAGGGTTTTGCTAAGGGTGGTTGTTTATGTAGGCCTTTTTACAGAGGAGGTTTTAGAAGAGCTCAAAGGATGACCCTAAACCCTAAACCCTAAAGCTTGTGTAGGCCTTTTCACAGGACATTTTTTGGAGGAGCGTACAGGGCTTCCGTAGCGGTCCTGTAAGAGCTTGGCGGTCAATTTAGATTCAGGCAGCAGGTCTGGGCTTTCTTGCAGCATCATGGGACTAGAAGGTACGGTAAGTAGGGTGTCGATACATGCCTGCATTGGATCATCCAACCCAAACGCCCATGCCCTAAGCACCCTGAACGTTGAACCTTACGTGATGCTCTGCTTGGCTGCTTAGTCGAATCTCAAACCGGGTTTCTCCAGACAGAGATCGCCAAAAAACACGAGCCCGGGAACCTACAGGATCCTTGCCCGACAAGATCTCTGGTCAGGTGCAAAGCCACCCATGAATGAAACCCTGGGCACATGCTGTGAGCCAAAGCTTGACTCCCATACCTACCATACAGAAGCCCTTAAACGTAAACCCTAGACTCAAATCCCTAGACCCTCAACAGTAAATCCTAGACCGCAGTCCCTAAAAATCCCAACCCACATCCGCGAGGTTCGGAATGCCGGCATGGGCCTGAGCTACAATGTGGGTGTGTGCATCTTCGGCGGCTTCGCACCGATGCTGCGACTCGGATAATCCCTCTCCTTCGGGGTTTGGGGGTTTCTTAGGGTTTAGGGTTTAGGAGTTGAGAGTTTAGGGTTTAGGGCTTGGGGGTTTCATAAGGTTTCCAGTGCTTGGCCAGTTTTCGGTGGGTTCGAGGTTGGATTGGATTCTAAAACGACCTCGAAGGCTCAGGGTTTGGGGTTTCATAGGGTGTACAGTGCTGCGTCGGCGAAATAGAGAGAGAGTTTATGCAAGGGCCAATTGAGGGACCCTTAATAAGGACCCCTAGGTATATACCCTTAGCATAGCATATATATATATATATATATATCTACCCATTGTATAGCCCATTATAGGGTAGGGGTCCCCATTAAGGGTTCCCTCCTTCGCCCCTTTGAGTTTAGGAGTTTGGTTTCGGAGTGCAGCTCTTTTTGAGTGACTATTAGGAGCATCCTTACAAGAGTCCCAAGGAACACGTATACATATGGGGTTTGGGATTTTGGTGGTTTGGGGGTTTACCGCTGTTGGGTTTTAGGGTTTAGGGTCCGTATGTATATATATATATATATACATGTGTGTCTGTATGTATATATATATATATATATATGTTCCAAGATTCTCGCAAATGCGACTGCAACCCCAAGGTGCCCGGGTTGTAAGCAGCGCTGGAAACCCTCAGAGCCCTAGAGACATTGTATTGTATATTGGCACGCTGGCAACAAAACTAAAAGCCGTAAGAATTCAAGGTTGAGCCGGGCAAACCCTCAACCACAAAGCCCTAAACCCTAAAGCCCTAAACCATATCAACCCCCAAGGCAGTCAAGCCAGGAAAAATGTAAAACCGTATAATTGCAAACCCTATAGGCCCTAAACCCCAAACCTTACTGCCTTAGTCCCGTCCTAAAGCATAGATTTCAAGCATCCCTAAGCCCTATAAAACCTCAAAGCCCCAAACTCCCCTAATGCCCAGGTTTGAAGCATCCGTTCTTTGGTTCTCCTGGGCTCCGGCACTTTTGTTGGCCGGGGGAGGATTGGTCACCGCTTGTGCCACCTTGACGAGCCTGAAGATGCAATCCCGGGGAATGACGCTTGGTACCTTAAATCAAAGGGGAAAAGGAGGGACCCTTAATAAGGACCCCTAGGTATATACCATTAATATAGCTGTGATATACCCATTATATAGCCCATTATAGGGTAGGGGTCCCCATTAAGGGTCCCTCCGTTTCCTTTTTGATTAAAAGGAACCCTTAAACCTATGAGCAGCTGTTGTTGCAATTACTAGACCGCTTTGGTAGGGCTTCATCATGAGAGGATTCCGGGCCGGCAAGCCTAAGCTCGAGCAGAACACCCCATCCTGCATAATATGTCGGCCTTAATAACTAGAAAAGGGTTTAGGGGCCCATTTCACTATAATCATACAAGGAAGCACAAAAATAGTATTGGTAGATATTTAGGATGCAATCCTCGGGAATGACGCTTGGTTTCGGGGTTAGGGCTTAGGGAAATTCAGTGTTTCAAGTTGTCGGGTTTAGGGTTTTGGGGCTTAGGGATTTATGGTTCAAGGGTTTTTCCTTTTTGTCGGGTTTGGGGATGCTTTAGAATATGAGCAGAGGGTTCAGTTTCAGTGTGTAGGGTTGTAGGGTTGAAACTGTCAGCCTTGCGGGGAAGAGGGTGTTTGGTGGTATCTCAGACTGTAGGTAGATCTCGAGACTGTAAGGGAATGATCTGAATGATGCTTCACAAGCTTAGTAGAGTGGTTATTGTTTTGGTGTTTCGGTTTCAGGGCTTGAGGGTTTGAAGTGCAGTAGCTGATTTCGTGTTGCTTAGTGGTTCCCTCAGTGTTGAGGGTTGCATTGAGGCCTTCAGTGCTTGCCTATACACTGGTTTCATCCAGGGGTTCAGGCTTTGGAGTAGTTTGGTGTCTCTGGAAAGCCCCATAAGCCCGCATCCGACCCCTATTAACAAGTCTATAGACCCTTACTCACATGTTAAAAAGAATGCCCCAGCCAAGAAGCTGAAAATCCAACTAATGAGTGCAAGGATGCGCCTGACGCACACACGGTCGGAGCCGTACTTCAGGCTCTGTGGCAAAGAACCCTTTGCCTATCCGCAGGAGTCGCTAGGTGGCACTTCGTGCTTGTGTGTTCTTAGAATACTGTTGATGATATAAATGCTGCATTACCCATAATAAGGAGTATACGATAATTCCCATAGTCTAGGGTCATTAAGGTAATGCAGGATTTATATCATCAACCGTACCTGTCCCTCAACCTGCAAGCGCTAAGTCGACTAAGTCGACATATTCATGAGAGTTGCTTTTGGTGGCGCCGTGAGACTACAACCAAGGTCGGAAAAGTCTGCACCGAGCCCTCAGAAGAAGGACGAGGTCCAGCAAATCCCACAAGACAGCGAGGTCCAATCCGTTGTCGCACTGTAAAGGTTCATGCTGTGGGCATAATTCGATGCACAAAGATGCGCGTGGGTGCCAACCGAGCACAAACCGATGTTAAGTTCCGCCCGGAGCAAGTCAAAGAACGGAATTGCAGTAGTTTAAGAACCTTTCAAGGCCTAAACCCTAGACCCCAAAAAAGCTTATGTCGAGAGCCCCTGATTGCAATTCCGGGAACGGAATGTGTGTAAACCTGATTGAGTTTTTTGCGAGTGTATATATATATATATATATATATATATATATATATATATATACAGACGTGTACACGTAATATGTATGATCCATCGTGATTTGGGTTTTGCGGTCATGTATTTACAGTATTACATACTCGTGAACCCCTTCGAACGCCCTCTTAATTTAACCCCTTGAAGCCCTCGAAAGGGCTTGCATAGTATTGAACCCTATATACCCTCGGCTGTGATGACCTTCAAAGCAGCTTGAACCCTAGAAGCCCTTGAGTAATATCAGAGTTGTTGGAGCTCAAGAAATGCTGTGTCTCCGGAAGGTGGGATCTTGGTCAGGTCACTGTGCCAAAAAATTGTCAAATGAAGCAATGAAGTACCAGGCATGCGACACTGCTATGTTGCACTGTTTGTATATGTATGTCAATGCTGAAATCCGGCTCGCTCTTTCTAGCACTTGTGCCCGGTGTTCCGATTCCTAGAGTGTACAAGTGCCAAATAATTAGCATGGCTGTAGACCGCACAGATCATACTGCTGGTTACTGCTGCTTGAAACCATACTTGAACGCTACGCCCGCCTAAACCCTACCCAAAGGCCCCATAGCATTTCCTTTTTGGGGTTACCTTATAGGGTTCTACATATGAACCCCCAAAAGGAGCCCTGAGCCCGGAACCCCAAGCCTAAACCCACAACCTCAGTTTGGGTGGTTGTCAAGAATGGGGACCCCCTAGCAATAGCCGGATGGGGGGGGGGTTAGTTGAATCGGGGGCTATTTAGAATAGCCGGGGCGGCTATTTATGTTAGGGTGGGGACCTCCAAATAAATAGCCGGGAATCAATGCGTTATGAAGGACGCACAGGAGCAGTGGAAGGGGTCACCAATCGTCACATCCAGGGCTGATTCTAGCATCAGTCTACTTTGTTTTAGCCATCTCCTCAAGCCCGCTATATGGCCATACCCAACCCGGCCTGTGTTCTTGCTATCACTCTGTCGTTCCACGGGGGTTCCCTCGCACAGAGAGAAAAGCGAGAGAAAGAGACAAAGAGACAAAGAGATAAAGAGACAGAGAGACAAAGACAGAAAGAGAGACCGAGAGACCGAGAGACAGAGACACAAAGACACAGAGACACGGAGACACAAAGAGAGGGACAGAGAGAGAGCGAAAGAGAGGTAAAGAGAGAGACAGAGAGAGAGAGAGAGAGAGAGAGAGGGAGGACTACTCCCGCTCCAAGCCCCTAGCAAAGCAAAGAGAGAGCGAGAGAGAGAGAGAGAGAGCGAACGTAGGCCCGGGTCTGCATGCAGATGGCAGGGAGGGGGAGAGGGAGAGGGAAGGCCGAGAAACGGAGAGAAAACGCAAGCAGAGAAAGAGACAGAGAGAAACAGATAGCTAAGAGCATAGTCTTCCCCACTATTCTGTCGGAGCTCTTCGTTGTTTTGCCGCCCTGCCTGCCAACAACAGCACGGGTGGGCCTGGCGCCCGGGAGCCTTGACCTTCCAAGAGCCCCTTAAACTACCGCGCCATAGAGACCCCCATCCCAGCCGCTCATATCCGACCTGCAAGTGTCTAGTTTCCATACCGACGAGCAAATATGCAGTTCAGCGTGAGCGAAACAAATCCCAGGGACAGACCCCGGTGTGTGTATGTGAGGCACACGAACGGCAGGGAAAGAGCTGATGTAGGTTGGGGGGACCCAGGCTTCCAAGAGCTTTGCTAGACTACTGCGCCAGAAAGACCCCCATCCCAGCCGCCTATTTCCGACCTGGAACTGTCAGTATGCAGCTCAGTGTGAGCGAACCAGATCCCAGCGACAGACCCCGGTGTGTGTATGTGGGTTGCGCACGAACGGCTGGAAAAGAGCTGATGTAGGTGGGGGGGGACCCAGGCTTCCAAGAGTCTTGCTAGACTACCGCGCCAGAGAGACCCCCATCCCAGCCGCCTATTTCCGACCTGGAACTGTCTGTTTTTCGTACCGATGAGCCCCGTATGCAGCTCAGCGTAAGCGAAACAGATCCCAGCGACAGACCCCGGTGTGTGTGTGTGTGGGTTGCACACGAACGGCTGGAAAAGAGCTGATGTAGGGGGGGGGACCCAGGCTTCAAAGAGCCTTGCTAGAATACCGCGCCAGAGAGACCCCCATCCCAGCCGCCTATTTCCGACCTGGAACTGTCTGTTTCCCTTACCGATGAGCCCAGTATGCAGCTCAGTGTGAGCGAAACAGACCCCAGCGACAGACCCCGGTGTGTGTATGTGGGTTGCCGACGAACGGCTGGAAAAGAGCTGATGTAGGTGGGGGGACCCAGGCTTCCAAGAGTCTTGCTAGACTACCGCGCCAGAGAGACCCCCATCCCAGCCGCCTATTTCCGACCTGGAACTGTCTGCTTTCCTTACCGATCTCAGTATGCAGCTCAGTGTGCCAAATTTTTTTTGCAAACATCGAAACCCTCTCCCGAGCCTATTGCTTTGGAGCTGTATTTCTCTGCGAAACCCAGCAAAGCCACCAAATCCAACCAGATGAAACACCAAGACCGGCTCAACATCCTACGTTGGAGGGATGGGTCTGGTAACGCACCGGCGCCGACACCCGCTCCTAGTTGGCATCAATCCTGATCCTCATCATGCTCGGTCTCGCCAGAAAACTCAGAAAGCCCTTCGACCTTGCATCATGAACGGGGGTGGGGAAAGGTTGGGGACTTCGGCTCTAAAAAGGAACTGCTCTTAGCTCCAAAAAGTGGCTTACACAAACCGTCATTCTCGGCTCCAACAGAAAAGTTTTGACCAACCCCATTCTCGGCGCTGCAAGAGGGGCTTGGCAAAGTCTCATCTTCGGCTCCTCGGGAACATTCCCAACTGATGCTCGCATTTTGGATGTTATGGTGTGTTTCAGGCGTGCGGGGGGGCGCAGCAGATCAGCAGTGGGATACTCCAGAAATTCCTGACTTACCGATCGTTTCACGTGAGAGAGCAGAAACCAGAGTCCACACATCCCGGAGTACTTACATGCGGGAACCGAGTCGTCAGGGTGTTAACCCCCCCCCCATCTAAACCCAGATGCCGGGAAGTCGGCGCCGTCTATTTCTCCGCGACCCCCCACCCCCCCCCCCCCTAGGGGGAGGGCATGTCAAGATTAGGGTCCTTTTTTAGGTTCCGATTATAATTCGGCACCTAATATTTAGGGTGCCCAAAAAGGGACGATAATTTTGACAACTACCCATTTCTGAACCCCTACTTCGAACTGGCAGAGCCGTACATCAAAGGGGAAACGGAGGGACCGGAGGGACCCTTAATGGGGACCTTTACCCTGTAATGGGCCATATGATGGGTATAAAATAGCTATATGAAGGGGATATACCGAGGGTTCCTTATTAAGGGTCCTTCTTTTTACCCTTGGATTATAGTGCCCTCATAGATCCCGTATAGTCCCCTTTAAGGAACCCTTTAAATGAGCCTTATTCTAATTATTAAGGCCCTCACATTCTCCGGAGCCTAGAGTACCTATACTATTTTGGGCGCTCCTTATTGTATTTTACAGTGGTTACAGTGTAATATGCCCCAAAACCCTAGTCTAATTATTAAGGCCCCTATGTTAGCAATCCCAGGAGTGCAGATGTTGGTATCGGCATCCGCGGACTCGAAGGCCCCTTTTGCTGCTCCTCTTTGAGACACAAGTGCTGTATGACATATACCGATACATATTCATATATATATATATATATGTGTGTATACACACATATACACGTAAATGCAGATGGGATGTATGCAAACACACGCACACACACACACACACACGCGCACACACACACACACACACAGACACACCCACACACATACACACACAAAGACACACACAAAGACACACACGCACACATATGTATATATATATATATAAACATACATATGGCTACTATTATGATGATTAGTCTTGTTATTAAAATAGATAATTAACCAAAAGATTATCGCGAGGTGTACTTGGATTTCGTGCCCAGCAGGGAGAACGTCGTGTTTTCGGGTCTTTCCACAGCAGTTTCGGGTCTAGGGGCCCTGCGACTCCATGCAGCCCAAAGTAGGGTAGCACTTAGTTTAGGGTTTAGGGTTTAGGGAGCCCAAAGTAGCTACTATTTGTAAACTTTATGCAGCCCAACGTACTAGTAGGGTAGCAGTTAGTTTGGGGTTTAGGGTTTTGGGAGCCCAAAGTAGCTACTATTTGTAAACTTTGGAGTCGTACTAGTAGGGTAGCAGTTAGTTTAGGGTTTCGGGTTTAGGGAGCCCAAAGTAGTTACTATTTGTAAAGTGGGAGTCTTAGCGTAAATGCAACACGAACGGATGCCTACTTGGATAGTTGCCTACCTGCGAAAGTATCCGGAAGCTTACAACAAAAGCCTTCAGCCCTACTTGGAGGCCCTGGGGACTTAGTAAGTCGGTTATAAGAGGGCTGTTTTGAGGGTAACTCCTTTTTTTTTGCACTGATAACTCTACGTCTAACCTACTTACTACTTGCTAGGCTCCCCGGGTCCTCAGCCCTAAACTCTAAACTTCGTAACTCCCCATCCCCAAATTAGGACCTCAACCCCAGCCCTAAACCGTGAACTTCGACCCTAGGCTCGTAATCGAAACAGGCCTCCGAATCTTGACCCTACACACCTCCTCTCCCGACCCTTATAAAGCTCTACAGTGAACCCCAGAAAGTTGCAACATGTATTTACGATGAGTAGTACTAGGATCCTCTATACTTTAAGGGCATGAGGGTCAGCATGTTTCAACTTTCTGGCCTCTACTATGTACAGACGTAACCCTTACCACGTTT